TCCATTGATCACTATCTATCCATCGGTGAGATCTCCTCCCTTTGCCTCATAGCAATTGAGTAAGGTGCTAGATGTCGCGAATTGATGTGTGTGTGTTTTGACATTTATTTCTCAGCCTCTCGACAACCTCCCCCTTGCCTTCCTCCCCTCTCCTCCCTACTTTTTTTACATTGTGGAATCAAGGGTAACAATCAACAAAAAGGAAGAAAAAAAAAAGGGGGCTTGATTGATTATGCTTACATCTTTGTCTCGAACAAACCGTTGCGTCTTTTTCTAATGATACACATGCAATCTAGAAGGACAAGATCGACACATGCTTCCTTGCATCTACCTGCATCAGATGCATGTACGACCTGATGATGGTACAAAAAAAAAGAGATATGTGTCGACTACAGCGGGGAGGTCAACAAAGAACAAAGTGTGAAGAAGAAGAAAAAAAAAAAGAGGGTTCAGAATTCTTATCGCGAACCCCGAGGATCCTTTTCCCACGACCTCTAAGAACGAACGGACGGTTGGACAGAAACGTCCTTCCTCAAACAAGGTTCATGAAAGTCCTATTTGCAGGCAAATTAAACGTTTCTTTTTTTCTCTGGCCAAGGAACGTCAATAGGAAGAAAAAAAGTAATACAAGGTAAGGGAGGAAAAACAAGGGAAAAATGAAAAAAAAGGTCTAAGGACTTCCCCGACCATTCATGGGAGAGCGATAAACACAAGTATCATCAGCGATATTTTCTTTTTTCAAGGAGACCGCGAAAAAAAGAAGAAAAGGAAGAGTGAGTCCATGTTTGGGCGCGTTCTTTTTCTTTCCCTCCCTCTTTCCTCTTTCAAACCTCCCGCCGTTCTCTCCCTGCAAAATAATAATAATTGCATTAACGAAAAGAGTCCGTGGTTAGCAAGGGATAGGGATTCCATTGCTATGCAGCTCCAATTAAGAAAAGGGGATGAAAGAAGAGAGGGAAGGACGAGGAGGGGAGTCATTCAGTAACATGAGGCAGGGACAAAATGTTGTGTGCATGAATAAAGGTCTGGCAGCGGAATAGAAACAACCAACAAACGTTTTGGTCGCTTTTTGCAATCAAACAAAAAGGCGCCATCTTTTTCTTCATGTGAACAAAGAATGCTGAAGGAAGGCCAGGGATCATGCAATTAACGGTCGGATCTACGGATCGGTCCCGATTCTAAATGAACTTCCAACAAGGGAAAAAAATAGTTTAGAATTGCAAAAGGTACGACATGAACGACAAGGGGAGCACTTCGAGCAAACGACGTTCAAATGGACCTGCCTTGTCTGTTTGGCCACAGTGAAATGGACGCAAACACTCATTTCTATCAAGACGTTTTTGCATCATGGCAAATAAAACTTGGCTTGTTTGATTATTTGCACATGTTCTTGTCGTACGAGTAGTTGACCGAGAGAGAACGAGTTTGCCTTTCTCTCCCTTGCCTTGCTGACAGGGCATGGAAGACTAAGGCTTGGCAAAGAGACTAAGGTTGACAGGACGACCCTCTCTTCGTTCTTTTCCCGCTCAGGGTCATTTATGCATTTGGGTAATATTATTGCCAGGTGTAAGGGGACACACAAGGAATGGCTGCCAAAAGAATAAAGATAGGAGAAGAGCAATGAAGACGCGATTCACTAAGAAAATCATCCGGTCCTACCCGCTTGCCCATGCCGCTCTTCAGCTGGAAGCTCATTGCCGACTTGACTCGTTTACTCTTCCCTTCTTCTACGAGGTATCTATTCATCGCTAGGAACGAGTGATCAGCCATCCAAGTTGCCACCAACCTACCTCGTTTTTGATTGACCATGTTGTAAACTGTGTAACTGACAAAAAGACTTATTGACGTTTCGGTCATTTACAGATTGACTGTTTGTGTGGGTCCTTTTCATTCGATTGACTACTGATGATCAATACAGATAAATCGCAGTCCGAAAAATAAAGTTTCACCACCCGTACTTAAGGCGTTGCGTTAACCTGTGTAATAAAAAACAAGGTTACACACAGGCGGCACAGAGAGCAGAAAAAAGGGACTGCTTCTGTCTGGTCAGCCATGGCGACAGATGGGTTGACTGGATGTCAATCAATGGTTGATTGGGATTGGGATTGAAGCGGCAGTCAGCACGAGTTGTCGATAGACAGCCGGCAAGAGGAAGTGAACAGAAGTGGAAGAAGGGCAAAAGGCTGGGCGAGACGAGGCGAGGTGTCTGTCTGCTCATGTTGTTGTTGTTAGTTTAGACAATTCTTTTTTTGTTATTCTTGTCTTCAGCTCGCTTGCTCGCTTGTGGTGCCTCATGCTTGTTTGGTGTGCGCACTCAGGCACCGAATGTGTTTGGTTGGGGATTGTATGTCTATTCAATGCGCCAGAAATATATTGGAACTGGACCGATGAATTGTTGAGAGGAAACGAGTGAAGGGAATGAGAAAATGACGATGGGAAGGTGGGCAAGGGTAGACCCTTTTCATTCATCTGACCCTGTCCACGCACTCTCTCTCAACTACACAGACACAGATACAGACACAACTATTACCCCAGACTTGCCATATTCATATTCCGAGTCCACTTCATACAGTTCATTTATTCATTTCTACGATTCATATATGTATGTTTCTTGCCCTTGGCTCACTCTCTTACAAGCTGCATTGAGGTACCTAAATCCGATTCAGTCTTCACCTCATTTCCGGTCGCTCGTACACTTAATACTACTTCACTAAGCTCATTTTTTTTCTCAGTTTTCGTTCACTTTCCCTCATTCATCTTAACTCCTCGTTCTCGCCCTCTTATTCGGTGCCGAGAGTTGAGTTTTCCCTTGAAAAAGGTAAAAGAGCCAAAAATGGTTCGATGAGGGGACGGGAGGCAAAGAGAGAAGAGAAAATGGCCAGGCGAGTGACTGGGTGAAGAGAAAAGAGAGAGAGAAAGATAGAGAGAAGGGAAGAGAGAGTGAGGGAAATGAAAAACCATAAAACAAGAAAGAGTCCACACGATGATGTCCATAGAATTACAAGAAGTGGAGAAGAAACAAAACCTTTAAAAAGTGGCCAAGGTTGGGGGTCTAGCCTATGCCAGCGAACTGGATATGGGTGTCCAAGCCCAGGGGACAGGAGAACGAATGAGAAAGTCAAATAGAAAGTTGAAGAAGAGTGAAGGTAAGTCAGGTAAAGGGCAGAGGGAGGGAAGAGGGAAGTGGAGTGGAGTGCAAAAAGTAATCCCATCCATGGTCCACGGGATTGAATACAGTTCTGTAATTGAATTGTATGAGAGGATGCACTGTTTGTGAAAAATTAAAGAGGGAGAAGAATGAATTGACTGCACTATTCAATCGCGCGTGTTTATTATAGCCTTTTCTCTCTTGTTTTTGCTTTGCTTCCACCTGCTCCTTCACCTATTTCTCCTGTTATTACTCCTGGTTATTACTGATAGCCTCAATCCACTTGCACACACACACCCCTGCCCTTGCAATTATAAGTACAGCCTCTCAGTCTCGTCTCTTTTTATTACCAAACAAAGATAGTACTCTATGTCTATTCATTTATATTTTCTCATGGAGTTGACTGGGTCAAGATGAAAAGTGAGATGGTCAGGCCAATGGTCAATTGGTTATTCGTTCCAGTTGTTCGAGTGCCGACAGTGCGACGGTGCAACCAATGCACTTGACCTTTTGTTGTTTACAGACTGAGCGCTTTCTTTTTTTCTTCGCCCAGGCCATGTTGCCAGCGAGAGGGCATTAAGTAAAGAGAAAGCCTTGAGGAGAGAGAAAGGAGAGAAAGGAGAGAGAGAGAGAGAGAGAGAGAGAGAGAGAGAGAGAGAGAGAGAGAGAGAGAGAGAGAGAGAGAGAGAGAGAGAGAGAGAGAGAGAGAGAGAGAGAGAGAGAGAGAGATTAAAAAAAAAGGACAATAGAGGAGGGAATGAGGATGATAGCCCGTTATGTTTCTGGAAGCAATTGCCGAGTGTCAGCCCATTCCTCGGACAGAGTGGGTGGGTAGAAAGTAGAAAAGAAAGTAAGCAAAGCAAGCCCAGAGTACAACGTGTACAATGAGTGAGAGTGAAGGGAAGATAGAGCCAGGCGTAGAGTGGGGTTGAGTAGTGTTGAGTTGAAGAGTAAGTAAGTGTAAGAGAGTGAGCAAAAGGCAGCGACAAGCCAAGCAAAACAAAGCAAAGCAAAGCAAAGGAACATACACACATTTGTTTGCGTACTATCCTAGTACAATATTCAATTCAATGAGCACAGGGTGTATTGAGTCCAAAGACATTTTGTGACCCCTACTCTGGCTCTCTTGCCCCCTCTTCTCCCTTGCCTTGACTCCTCTACCCCTGCTGTATGTGTCCGACATACAACATAAATAAAAAGCACTTCCCTCGCATTCTTTCTCTTCTTTTTTCTTTTCCCATTCGTTATTTGTTTTTCTTTCTTTCTTTGACCATTCATCTTCTCTCTTCGTCCTCCTCCGCTGCTTCTTCTTTGTTTCTTTCTTTCTTTGTTCTTTTTACCCCACCTTTTTGCTTCTTTTCTCCCTTCTCTTCCTTTGACCTCCATCCCTCACGTCTCTTCTCTCTTCTCTTCCTTACCCCTTTTTCTTCACTCTCCCTCTCCCCCTCTCAACACATACAAAAAGATGCTGAACGAGTACTCCGCCACAACCATCGTTTCTGCCACTGTTCCTGGTGCAACAACAACATCAACCTCGACTGTGGGGTCAACAACCATCCTCGAAATGCCCTTCCTCTCCGACGACTACTGCTTCTCTTCCTCTTCCTCTTCTTCTACCAATAACAAGCAGTCTTCTTCAACACCACCGCTTTCCTCCTACACCTCCACTCCTACTACCTCCTCTTCCTCATACTCACTGTTCAGCACCGCTGAACACGAAGTCCTCACTCCCTCTCCCGTGACCATCATCACCTCGATGCCTTACATGTCCGCTTGTACTCCCTCCCCCCTCACTCCCTCTCCTTCTCATACCAACAACAACATCTTCACAAACAACAACAACAACAACGGTATGGTTGCTGGTGCGAACCATTCGATGCCCCTGCTGCTGGACAACAGAGACATCTTTGCCAACCTCAACTCTATCCAACCCGCCTCCGACTGGCTCTCCCTTTCCCTCGCCAACAACATCTCCCTCCCCCTCTCTCATACCAACAACACTGGTAACAATGCCTTCTTCCCTTACTCCACATCCCTCTACAACAACCACAACCACAACTCCTCTTCAAACACAAGCAACTCGAGTAGCAACAATACCGTGGGAGCAGCAGTAGGTGCAGCAGGTTCTGCACCGTCGTCGTCGTCGCGTCTTCCCTTCGTCCCCACGGTGTCGTCGTCTCCTTCGAATGGTTTTGCGCAGTTTCAAGAGTACCGAACGCATCAGCAGGACCCTGATGTCTTCTCGGCCTGGCCTTCCTCCCCAACCTCCTACCTCACTGCTGCGACTCAAGCCTTGACAGGCAACGCGCATTCCATCCAAACCAACCTCCCCCAACCCTCGATTCAGCAGCAGTTCCAGTTGCAACAACAACAGCAACAGCAGCAGCAGATCCAGCGCCCTTCATTTCAGCAGCAGCAACACGTGTCGTCCACGACAACAATTCCGTCGTCGGTCCTCAAGCCAAAATCCCTCTTCCTCAACCCCACTCAATACCGGCAACAGCAGCAACAGTCAAGTCTAGGTGCGGGGATGATCTCTCCACCCGAGACCCCCTCGTCGACACCATCACCCGTCAGTCTCGGACGCCACGACCTTATTGCTTCTTCGTCGTCTTCGTCCCCGCAACCCATCCCCCAGGTGCCATCTGTATCGACCCTCCGGTCTCCCTTGACTCCTACCTCTCCCATGGACGAGTCCTCCTCCTCCAGTACTGCAACGTTGTTCTCGAACCGATCTGATTCCATGCCCACCCTTCACCCTTCATCCCCGACTTCCCCGACTCCCCTAACAGACGAACAACAGCAGCTTCGTCGAGTCAGCGAGGGCTTGCTCCTCCACCACCCACATCACGCTCATCACTTCAACAACCCTATCCCTCCTCACCTCCAACGCCTCACACACCCTCAAGCTGTTGGGTTCAAGTCCATCAAAGTCTCCAAGGCCCGCAAGCCGTCCAAGGCAGCCATCAAGGCCGCTGCCGGGTTGGGAGTTCGTTGCCAGAACTGTGGAGTTACTGTTACACCCCTTTGGCGTCGATCAGCCGACAATGAGCCTCTTTGCAATGCTTGTGGTCTTTACCATAAACTCCATGCGATGCATCGGCCTAAGCACCTGCAGCAGCAGGGTCAGCCTGGTACGGGGATCCGTGGTGGTGGGGCTACCCTGGGACTCAAGGACCTCAGACTGTCCTCGGACGGTTCTTTATATAATGGCGAGAGGTCTGGATCTGTCAGTTCTGACGGTAGTGCTGGCCCTGATGCCTCGTCTGCATCCTCACCCACGGATGGCCCAATCGTCAGCTCTCCCGGATCAGGCACCACTTCCTCATCCGACACACCAAACGCCGCATCTGCGGCCCGTTTGTCTTCCCGTCCCTTCCCCCTCCCAGCATCGTCAACATCAACAACCTCAACCGCAGGCGGCACCAACATCCAGCCCATGTGCACAAACTGCAGGACAACACTCACCCCTCTCTGGCGGAAAGACGACGCCGGCGAGATCCTCTGCAACGCCTGTGGGCTTTACTACAAACTGCACCATATCCATCGGCCTATTTCGTTGAAGCGGAACGTCATCCGTCGTCGGTCGAGGTATGAGGGCTCTACTACTACTGGATCTGTGACGAGTGTGAAACCGGCAGTTAGTCCCGTAGGTGTTCAGCACCACTTGGTCCAGGGGATCGCGCGTTCTCAGCATATGCTTCACCACCACCACCATCATCATCGTCAACAGCAGCAACAGCAACAACAACATCAACATCAACATCAACAACAACAGCAACAGCAACAGCAACAGCAGCAACAGCAGCAACAGCAGCAACAGCAGCAGTTCCAGCAGTACCAAGCTCAGATGATGGGGTTCAGTCATGGTCACGGTCATGGATACGGTCAGGATGTGCATATGGGTATGGCCTTGCCCATGCCCCAGCACCTCGGTCTCCAGCACCAGCCTCAACATCCTCAGCAGCAACAGCAGCAAGGGTCGCCTTTCGGTATGGCCGAATACGCCAACTAGAAAAGCCTCCCCCCTCCCTCTCTCCTTCCCATTTTAGCATAGACTTCTTCCCTTCCTTCTCTTTTCCGCAAGTTAGTTTGCTTGTTCCTTTGCTTTCCTGCCTTCGCATTGTCCTTTTGCTTTTTTGCTTCTTCGTCATTCAACAAAAATAAAATAAAAAAATAGCCAACTTGTACCATACAACATCAAACAGAAGTGCAGTGTGCTTGTGGACTTTTTTTTTTTTTTTTTTTTTTTTTTTTGGGGGTGTGTTTTGTATGTTTGTGAGATGAAGGGGGTGAGTGAGGTTAGCTATGAGATTGGTGGCGCGACTATCAAGCAATGTTTCAAAAGAGAGGAAAGAGAATACGCGAAAATGAAAAAAAGGAGGTCCAAAATGACAAAGAGGTGAGGAGCGCAGAAATCCCAATCATCAGGAGTAGCTCGCGTAGGCCACGGGGTCAGAGAAAAAGGCTTTACTGGCGGGCCTCGACGACGCCACGCTCGCCCTGATCATAGATCTGCCAAGCCAACCCCTTGGTAAACCACTGATCGGCTCCCTCAACCGGGGCATTCCCCTGAACACGGCCCTCCCGCTCCTTGCGCTTAGTCTCTGTCGAGATCCCCATCGCCTTATCTCGCTTCTCTAACAACTCTGGGAGCACCTGTCCATCAGCCGTGAAGGAAGCCAAGATCTGAGGCGGGCCGTAAGGAACTTTGGAAGAGCAATTGCCTTCATCATCGACGGGCCAGAGCTGGTGGGTCTTGCCATAGGTATTGCAAAGGTGCTGGAGGGAGGGGATCTCGGCGGTTCCGACGACCATCTCGGGGACGCCGGCCTTTGCGATTTGGACCAGTAGGCCGGATTCGCATTCGTACTTGTGTGAGTGCCAGAACTTCTTCTCGTTCTCGTCCAATGCTGTTGGAGGAGGTGATTGGTGTGTGGGGGGGGGGGGGGGGGAAGGAGGTGATGATCAGCTTTCGTGTTTTCACGCGTCGCGTTACGGTGTTGAAAGTGATCATGGAAACTGATGGTGATGATGATAGTGATCAAGATGACAGAAGAGGCACGCAAGGATGACGAAAGGAGGATAAAAGACTTACACTCAAAGAGTTTCTGGGAGATGATGTACTCGACGGCGATGAGCTTGGCATCCTTGCTGTTCGAATCGTAGACGAGGCACTGGCGACGATCCGCATCCAGCATCGAGCAGTAATGGTACGAAATCACCTGGCGCTTCTTGTCGTTCCTATCCACACATAGCGAACAAAAAAAAAGGCCAAGCGAGTCGAGTGTCAGCTCGCTTATTCGGTATTCTCCATTTATTCTCTTTCCACTCTTGTCTTCATGGGTTCCACTTCCAATACCTTCACCGAATGCTCTTTTCTCACATAACCAAAAACAATGGCAGAAAGGAACTTACGGATAGAGGTGGAGACCGCAGAAGGCCTCACAGATGTTGGCGAGGGGCTTGAAGCTCTGGAGAGGCTTGGCGGCGGTCGAGAGCATGGCGGTGCCCGAGCTGATCTGGCCTTTAGTCTCGTCAGCCTTGTGGGTAGGAGGGACGGGCATCTATTTGTTATTTAGTTGGCACGCAGAAACAAATAAAGAGAGAGGGAGAGACGTGTTGGGATACAAGGCATACCCGTAGGAAGGCTCGCGTGAGAAAACAAACAAGAAAATAAAGACGAGCGGAAGTCAAAGCAAGAAGTAGGACAAGGAGAGAGATAATTTATGAATAGGTTTCTTACGGTGGTGTGTTCTTCCATGGTTGGATGCTTGCGGGTGTGTGTGAGTGTGTGTGGAGAAAAGTTCTTGTTGTTGTGTATGTGAGTGTGCGTAGGAGTGTTGTTGATGTTTGTTTTGTTTGTTGTGCGTGTGTTTGTGTAAGAGTGGAGCGAAGGAGAGTAGAGGAAGAGTAAAAGAACCGCATAGCGAGAGTTCACTTATACCCCTACTTTAGGGATCTTTGGTTTCAAAAAAAAAGAGGCTTCCACGGCCGTGGGAACCCCCAAATTTCGGCCTCTTTTAGGACATTCTACCCGTAAGAACTCACATGTGAGTTGTGTCATGGCCACGAAATATTAGCCCGACTGATTATCATGCACCGCTATTTCATGGTTGTCGCATATGTTCGTTCACATATATATCACACTATCGTCATCCACATTCAGCTATGGACTATATTCGTGGGCTGGATGACAATCGAGAGGTGGAAGCTGCTAGCTAGGGGCAAAGGATTAGTTTAATCTCGGGTCGGTGGGTTCGCAGCCAGGACGACTGGGGGACCGCCATATCATCCCTACGATACCAGAAAAGCTCCAGCCAAGGAAACGACCGCGCCATCCACTCAACATCACCAAACTCCCATACGCTATATCCAATCACGCCCAAGCTCTTCAATCGCTTCAGGGTTCCCAACTGATAGAGTCCATCGTCATGCTGAATCCTATCCTTTATATGCTGGGATTTGTTCGCATTGTTGCCATCGGGGTAAAGGACCTTAGCACCAGACTCTGGCAAGGTAAACTGCAAGAGCAACGACTGCATGTGGGTTTGAGCCGCCAGCTGTCGCCACATCGCCTTGATCGCCCCGTCCCTGGCTTCGGTGCTCATGAACGCGTACGGTCGATACTCGATCCTCTCGACTCGGAATTCGTTTAGTCCCTTACATACCCAGGGTTCCCCTAGAAACAAGTCCATCACATTGGGGCCTTCCAAAAGGAACAGGATGAGCGTGCGCAGATGAGGGCAATGTGCCAGAAACTGTCGAGCCGCAATGACCGTATCATCACAGCTATCGAGCTCCAATGATTCGAGTAAAGGACAGGCGCGTGCAACTTGATTTACGACGTCGGTAGGGAATCCGACCCCGTCGGTCAAGGAGAGGCGTTTGAGTCGAGGGTGGGTTTGGGCAATCCAGAGAAGCCTCTCTGAGGTATAAAAGCACTCGCGTAACCCAAAAGATTCTAACTGTGTTGCTCCAGCGAGGATCTCTTCAAAGAATTCTTGAGGGATGAAGTGACAGGTGGCGAGATTGAGATGACGGAGGTGGTCGGCATTGGTCCTGACCAGATGGTGGACAGTCAATGGAGACCAGGAGAGAAGAAAGGCGAGGTTTATTGTCTCAAGATGAAACGACTTTGTGACCACCAATGCCCTCTCCAATGAAGCGGCTGCTGCTGATGGTCGCTCCCAGTCTGTTCCCAAAATGCTCAGGTGCTTAAGCTGCGGCCAGGCCGAAAAGATGTCTCTATTACCATCAGCTCCAAGGTCTAGGACACGGTCTTGGTACTGGGTGAAGGCAATCGACTCTAGTTGCGAGCAAGGTGCGAGGGCCATCAGCGGGTGTTCGTCCATTGTGCGGTCGCGCACGTCGATCCTTCGGAGCTGGGGGGTGTGTCGGAGAATATTGCTCAGGTCGATATATGAGAGGGGGATGCCTTCCTCGCCATCACTCTTGGCGTTAAAGTCAAGTGACTGGACCCAAGCACCGCAGATGGCGATAGAGGCTGCAAATGCTTGGATCTGAGAATGGCTTTCTAGACGGATGCCATGGCGCCAGAGGATTGGTTGAGCGAGGGCAGACCACAGGCTGCAGACCAAACATGCTTGCGCCAAATCCTTGGTGTAGAGGAAATTGAAGACGGTAAGAACGAGTTCTGGGATGGTGAGAAACGTTTCTGATGCGGAGAGAGGAGAGACGGTGGTTGTGTTTGCTGACATCGATACGAGCGACAAGGAGTGTTGAGCACGGCGTTGTTGCTCCTGTCGTTTGAGGAGGGATGCGATGCGTTGACGATGGAACATGACGAGGGCTTCGATTGAGTTGTCCTTCATCCTGCGCTTCCTGCTTGTCGATGTTGGTTGCAGATGTAAGTTGTTGTCCTGGTTGCTGGGTTGTTTGTGCTTGATGACGAGTTCACAACGATGAACGGCGAAGTAGTTTGCGGCTGGAAAGCTGGAAAATCACAGGATTCTTCACACACGACGTAATGTGACCGTTTTCCCACGTTCTTGCACATTTTCCTCAACCCTCTTCCATATCGTTCCATTCATCCTCTGCCTTACTTCCAGTGAATAATTTGGGCGGGAGTTTGCCAGGCAAGAACTGAGGGAAGATCCCTTGATCGCACCTGCTGCCATAGGACAGACAGCCATGATATCATTTGCCTCTTCCTTCCTCCACACGACACAACCTCCCAGGGCATGTAATTTGGATATTAATATCGCTGAGCTGAGCTCACGTCTTCTTTTCTTCTTTTCATCAACAAACACACTCTTCCTCACCATTCCCTCCCCTCCCTCTTCACCACTTTCATTCACGTCGTAGACTGCTAGAGTCCTTCGTTTGCTTCTCCTCCCTCCCTCACGAAACAACAACCACTTATACCCACTTCATCACCAATTCAACAGCCATGTCTGACTCGCCCATCGTCAACGAGTTCAACCAGGGTCCCATCTCCTGCCACGCCTTCAATGGCGACCGCACCGGTACATACCTCTTTCTTCTTTCTGTCGACTCCTTTATCCCCATTCTACTCAATCGCTATCAGGACATCTTGTGAATTGACTCCGCGTCTAACATAACACCTCTCGCACACAAATACACCAAAATAGAGCTGGCTATCTGCTTCAACACAAACGTGGTCAGCATCTTCCGCAAGTCCGGCGCAAGCTGGACACAGACTTCGACCCTGGTCGAGCACGACAAGCCCGTGACCTCTATCGACTGGGCCCCCAAGTCCAACCGCATCGTTACCTGCTCCCAGGACAGAAACGCCTATGTCTGGACCCTCGACGGCGCTTCTCACCAGTGGAAGCCCACTTTGGTTCTCTTGCGTATTAACCGTGCTGCGACCTTTGTTCGCTGGTCGCCTGAGGAGGACAAGTTTGCGGTCGCTTCGGGATCGCGCTGTATTAGTGTCTGCTACTTTGAGGAGGATAACGATTGGTGGGTTGGTAAGCATATCAAGAAGCCTATCCGCAGTACTGTCCTCTCCATCGACTGGCACCCCAACAACGTCCTCCTCGCCGCCGGATGTGCCGACATGAAGGTAACCTTTGAACGATGGGAAAGGGAAATATGTTTTTGACTGTTGCGTTGATGTCTCTGCACTGATGCAGTGTGTTATTGAATAATCACGTTTTCGGATGGACGCATCTTTCTCGCCAAAGGAGCAATATTTGCCACCAAAATATTGTTGACGCCTTGTCTAACCCATCGACCCTTCATGGATACCATTCTTCTCTAGGCTCGCGTCTTCTCGGCTTTCATCAAGGGCATCGACAAGAAGTAAGCAATCCAACCCTTCAACTCTTCATCACTGCAACACGAATTCAAACTTGCGGAGCAAATTGCTAACCACTCCATCTCTTCTCATATACTAGGCCAGCTCCTTCGCCTTGGGGTGAGAAGCTTCCTTTCAATACCCTGTGCGGCGAGTTCTCGAACGGTGCGGGAGGATGGATTCACGGCGTGGCCTTCTCGCCCAGCGGCGAGTCTCTCGTCTTTACGGGCCACGATTCGACCATCACTGTTGTCTCTCCCGGGACTGGAGATATTCAGTCGATCCGTGCGCCTTACCTTCCTTACCTGTCTGTTATCTGGTTGAACGAGAACCAGATCGTTGCTGCCGGACATGATTGTGCCCCCCACCTCTTTGAGCTCAAGGGCCAGCAGTGGTACGTTTTCTCTTCGGGACCATTCTACAAAGAGTATATTATGTTGTATTCCAGACAGGAGCTATTTATTCACATGTAACTAATCAAGTCCACTTTTCGCGTGGTAATGTCAAAATAGGGCGTTCTCGGCGTCGTTGGATGCTGCGGTGAAGAAGGCAGATGTGGGATTCACAGCCAGGGACACCTTCCGTCGCATGGACAGCCGTGCCCAGTCCACCACCTCGACCGACACCGAGGTCCACACCCACCACCAGAACACCATCAACTCGATCCGTTCCTTCTCGGGCACCCCTGAACACGTTGAGCAGTTCTCGACCTCTGCTATTGATGGCAAGCTTATCATCTGGAATGCTGACAGCATCTCCCGTGGACTTGGCAACTTGCACCTCTAAGAATGTGCTTTTTTCTCAACACGTTCGGGACTGAGAGGGGATGTTTCTTTTTGCTCACTCGCGGATGGGGAGACAATTGGATAATAAACTTGTGGGGAGGAACGAAACCCCTCATTTTGGTCATCTTCTCCTTTCAATGCAATGTTACGCGGTATTTTTTATCTCCAAAATTATTTTCCTTTGGGGTTTCTCATTTTTATTCAAGGGGTAATAGGCCAAGGATGCTTCTGGAAGTGTGAATTATCAGGGAAAGAAAAGAAAAGAAAAGTAAAGGCAAAAAAAGCAGAGTGATGTACAAGTGTAAGCAAGGATTGATGACGAAGATGATGGCGAAGAAAAACAGCAAAAATGAAGGATACACGAGAAAGAGCTAATTATTACAATGGGTGTGTGGGATTATGAAGAAGTAAAAGGAACAGAAGCAAAATGTGAAGCGGAAGTAAAGAAGAGAAAGAGGACGCGTGGATAGTATTGATTACATCATCGCAGCCAACTCTTGAGAAAAGGCTTTGTTCCTGTTTGTTTTCCCCTTGAACGAAACGCCGCAAGGGTTTATCGAAAGGAGATTTCGAAGCGAGGTATCTGTCCGCCGAAAAAGACATTGGCTCCAGAGACTTGGACAAAATCCTGACCGAGGATGTTGAGGTGCGAGAAGTGTCCGTCTGCAGGCGAGCGTTCGACCATGGTCGTGTAACCGTTGATCCGGAGCGGCAGCCGATGCAGTGAGGATGAGCAGGTGTCCGCACCATTTCCACTGTATCCGTCGGTTCCAATGTTGCGAGAGTTGCTGTGGGGGTTTGGGGTAATAGAGACTGGGTTGGGTAGGCTAGTCGTAGGCGCGATAGAATGTTCGCCCACAACGACCATATCCTCAATACCCAACGTCCTCAACACCTCCTCAGAAAGGTATGTCTGCGCGCTTGACGGGAGGTACAAGAAGTGCACGTTAATAGGGAACCGGGTTCCGGAGAGGGTGAGGATGGATTCTGAGATTTGGACCGAGAGGGAGATGATGGGCCGGAGGCTTGCGCCCCATACGATTCCGCGGACCAGTTTCTGATGGGCGATCATCGGTGTTGCATTGTTGTTTGAGGAAGAGGTGGGAGGAGTGATGATGGAGAGGTAGGGGCGTTGGAGGTGTTTTGAGAAGGTGTCGTGGAGGTCGTGGGGGAGGATGTCTTCGAAGTCGGCGCAGAGTGTCTTGAAAAGGATGAGGTCGTCTGTTGTTGGTGGAGCTAATATTCTTGTTCCTGCTGTTGGCGTTGATGGTGATGTCATTGTTAAAGCCATTGCTTTCTTTGGTCTTGTTTGGTCTTGGTTTGGTGGTGTTGAAGACAAGAAGGAAAGAAAGAGGAGAAGGGAGGGAGGGAGAGAAGGATAAGGGGAATAAAGAAAGAGGTTGAGCCACAGTGTCGGTGTAACAACAAGCGCAGCGAGTATACATGAGTGGAGTCAGTCAGGCGGTGCAGGACACAGATAGGGTGGGAAACCATCAATGTGCCTGAATAGAAGGGTCTAGTTCGATGGGACTAACGTCTTTCGGTTGACAATAGTTGAAATAGAGGGAGTGATGACGATGACGACATTGCCGGAGATGTCGTTACTTTATGCTTGATTTTTTATTTATTATTTAAGGGGACCATGACGTATTCTTACTCTCGTTGTCTCATCGAAATAAAGGCACAGCGCTTAGTGGAGGAGCTGTTGGGCCTTGAGTTTGTAGTTGTGCAGGATCTGGTCATCAATGGCATTGAGGATGCCTTCTCAAACTTTTGGGGTGCGAGCGAGCTGCACCAGATGGACGCTGAAATAAGCGTCAAATCAACCCATCCAGCTACACATCAAAACAATTAATGAAAAAGGAAAATGAATAGAAACAACCATCCCAACAAGCAGCATAAAGGAAATATAGCGAATACGTTGTTCGCCAGTGATCCATCCACCAGATCACAAATGCGCCGTATGAATCAACCCCAAAATATCTTTCAACTCCTTCCAGCTCTGTACTTTGTCCCCGCTACGCTGCTCCGAAGTCTTTCCACCCTTATCTCTCGACAGCTTGAAGTAGGCTGCATTCTCCGCATTATGGTTCTTATACATCTCGACATAAACCAGCCGGGGTGAAGACGGGTAGAGACATAGGAATCGAAAAAGAGTTGGCGGTTTTTCTCGGAGGCTGTTTAACCAACGATGGAGGGACCCTTGGGTTGTTGCGCTCGACGTATTCTGCGATCGCCGGACTGTCCAGGAGACCTTCGCCGTCGGCAAATTTCAGGGCGGGCATCGTTGGGGCTGTCACATTCAAGCTGATGTTGTATGGTGAGATAGAAGGAAAATGCACAACAAGTGGGTGATTAGAGTGTGAGACTCGGAAACATGTTTGTTTGACGCGTTCATTGATGGAACAACGCGTTTAGATGTGAAAAACAACCACGAAGGTAGATCTCATTTACAGACACGCAAAAAGCATACCAGACTTTGCGGGTGAGGACAGGGATGTCCAAAAAGGTGAGGGGACGGTCTCGTAGGTAACATTTTTGTGGTTAAGAGCCAGCTTGGAATGCCAGGCTATGGGCGAGAGCGACTTTTGGCGGGTCTTGCCGTCCACAATATCAAAACAGCTGGAGTCCGACAGTCATCTTTGGATAATGAGTGGTAGGGGTGGGGTGGGATGGGTTGTTTTTTTTCTGTTGGGTTGAAGGGTGAAGGAGTAGTGTTGTGAATGAACAATAAACTGGGCGTGTTGTTGATGATTGAGGGTGGACATCTTTTTTTGAGGCGAGGTTTATATACCTCATTGAGGACCTACGAAACCCATGGCGACCGTTTAGTTCGACCCTCGCTCGACGCCTCGAGAGGAGGTCAACGACAAAAACAAAGCAAGCGGAAAGAATGAGGGGTAGCAAAAACAGAGGGAGGAGGTCAAGGAGGCGGGAGGAGAAAACCGTTTTTGGTGGCGAATGGAGTTTTGGTTTCAAGGCATAATGCGCGAGAATAAGATTCGCTGACCGAGGAACATTTTTCATGTACATGCAAGGGTGGGAAACAGGTATGTTAGGCGAATATGATACCCGCACGAGCAAGAAAGCAAATAAGGCGCGAGGAGGGAGGAATGGTGATGATAACAAGGAAGAACTCCATTAGTTTTTTTTTTTGCCTCTATTTGGATTTAAGTGTTGTTGTTATAGATTTTGTGTTGTTTTCTATCGCGTCGTTTATACCCAGTGGCATAATACCATGGGCATTGTTACAACATGTCGCGTTCTTTTTTTCTGCTTGTTATTCCAACCCATCGCAGAGTGTGTGCCCCAGTGGGCAATTGCAGACAAAATAGCAACTATGGACAGCATAGGTGTTCTCGACTCCTGCTAGAAAACATTTTGTTCTCATAGGTGCAGAGAAGTCGTATTCAGCAGAAGGAACAACCTGCAACCCCTACATGTACAAACTACAAGAGGTACGCGACCTTGCCTTTATCGCATTGCCCTATGAGCTGGGCGTATTATGCAAACCATAAGTAAAGTGTGAGAGGGAACTGGATTCGAAATGGTACAGAGTACAAAGCAAGAGACCATGAATGATTTCCTCATAATGGACATTCATGCGTCTGGTCCAGCTTCAGGTCCTCTTACTTCGTAGGGGCGAATGATTGGATAGCAACAACAACACAACAGAGTGCAGACTGCGACGTGAATCGGTCGCGACACTTTGCACGCGTGTGAAACGGAAAGAGAAAATGGTCGATATTGTTAAATGCCCAGGTAAAGGACGTCCTCACATGAGTTGGACATCATTCGAGGCGGTGGAGTACGACATTCTTTTGTCTTTTGCACACCCTCCTGGCTGTAACAATAGCGCAGCAGGTCACCCCTCAGCTCCGTCTGCCATAGCATAGAATGCAACAATGGGTATTGAAAAAGCAATAATTACGATGGAGGATAACGCAATGTTGTAGAGAAGCCACGACAAGGTGTGTGTGTGCGTGCGATTTTTCATTTGCAGCACTGCCCGAGCTATTCATTCCCTCCTTTCTCCAATCGCCATGACCACACCAGCAATAAACTAACCATCCCCTACCTTGATAAAACAGCCACCCTTATTTTCAACCATACTTGTCCAAACCCTAACAAAGAACATGGCTAGTGCTGTTCAACCAAGCTATGATTCCCCATTTGACCCCTCTTCCTTTTCTCGACGGACAGTACTATTCCTCCTTTGAAAGCTACTTTTCGCTGAACCCAGTTTGCTTTGGTCACAAAGGAGAAGAGAGCAGTCGGCCGTCAAGAAATGGCAGTAATCCATTTGGGTATGGAGACATGCTGTTCACTTTTGACATAGCGAGCGTTTTCTTTCTTCTAGAACGGCTACTACAACAACAACAATAAAGCAACTCATAGAAGGGCATTTGCAAACGTTGAGACCAAGGTTGAGAACTTCGTTGGGGGCGGAACAAGGTTGGGAAACATGGGGTCATATGCCGGATTGTTGAGAGCCTTTCTCCTTTGTTTTCTCTCCTCCTCGAACTGCATCGAACATACTTCTGTGGCGATGCGAAAAATGGAAAAAAAATAAGAGCGGCGGCCGCGGTGGAAGAGGAAAGAGACTGACATACGGGCGCAGTGAACCAGTGGCTCTTACTTTGTGGAGGGCGTGAGAAGGGGAAGGGACGGAGGGAGAATCTGAATCCCTTTTGCTCAACGTCTTTTTTACCCTCTTCCCTTTTTTTCTTTTCATCATCCTTCTTTTACCACCTGCCCCCTCTCATTCCCTTTCATCTTTCATTCACCCTTTTCCACGAACCAGAAGTGATGCTCGCACAATCAGAGGCCACCAAGAAGGAGAAGGAGGAGAACATCTTCAAGCATGCATGGCATTCCGTCGGGGAGGCGCTTCATCTCCGTTCAGACCCTGCCGTCGAGGATGTCCCCCCTCCAGGTAAACCCTCTTTTTTTTCATTCTTCAGGTCGTGATGACTGATAAACGAGGCAAGACAAGCTGTGAGACTGATTGACTTTCCCCTATCACCCTCTCACTCGTCCCTCGTCCCTCGTTCCTGAATATTATCAAAAAAAAAAAGTCCCACCAAAGGACGACAAGTGGTTGGTCAAGACCGTCAACAAGGCCCCACCCATGGACCAAACCCCCGAAGACCCCAGCTTCTGGGACAAGCTCTTCCACAAGTCCCAAAAGTCCTCCTCCACCACCGACGATAATGACAATGACAACGACGCTGTCTCCATCAGCGTCCCCGCCGATGCAGCCCTGCAATGCCTGGGCGTGCAGGGCGACGACGCCCACCTGGAGGAGAAGAAGAACTACTTCGAACGGATGGCCGGACGCGTCAAGGAGAAGTTCGACGACGACGATTCGGATTCGGACTCGGACGATGATGATGACGACAGGGCCAAAAAGGTCGAGAAGAAGGCCTCCATGACCGAACAGGAGAGGCTCACACACCAACAGCGCAAGAAACTTGCACCCAAGGTCGACCCCAAGGAGATGCAAAAGGCCCACGCGGCCGTCTATGGCATCTCGGCCGAGACTCAAGCACAACAAGTCGAGGCCGACAAGAAATTGTTTGGATCCTGGTGGGGTTGTCATCCTCGTCGGTCTAGGGCGGCTCGTAAGCTGGAAAAGCAGAAGGAGGCCGAGGCTGAACAGGAGCGCATCTTGCAGGAGATTGCGGCGAGACAAAAAGCCAAGTTTGAGGCTGAGGCTGCGGCGGCTGCTGCCGCCAAGGCTGCCGAGAAGAAGTGGTGGCAGTTTGGAAAGGAACGTTCCCCTGCGCAGAAGGCTCAGCGAGCAAGGGAGAAGAACGACAAGGAGCGCAAGTCTTCCCGCACCCACCAAGCCCTTGCCGCTGCTGGTAACTTGACTTTTTTTTCTCTCTTCTATTTGTTGTTTGCTTCCTTCGCTTCTATAAGAATCTTTTACTATGCCTTACCTAATGACGTATCTACATCCCCTTTCAAAATAGCTGCATATGAGGCGATGAAGAAGTACAATGAGAAGCAAGAGAAAGATGGCAAGGAGGTCTCGCACGGACAGATGAAGGCTGTCCTCGCCGGCATGGCCATGGCCGAGGCCGTCAAGCTCTTTGAGAGCCGCGACGATGACGATGACGACGACGATGATAGCAAGGACGATACTGTTGCCGAGGCTGGTTCCATGGCACTCAAGCTTTTTGAGCTCATCAAGTAGACAGTCATTCTGTTTGTTGATGTTATTGAGGAAGAAGAGACGTCCAGTCCACCTGTTGACGAGCCAGCAACAACAGATGCGGACAAAACTGTCTTCAATATAATAAAACTACGAAAAGTATCCAGTGCATCCTGTTGATGCTCTGTTATTGTTATTTGCACCATTTTATTTGGGGTTCGACTCTTGTCCTGTTTGTCGGGAGAGATACTTTGTATCAAAGACGAGGCGAGCTTAGGCTTGTGTTGTTGTTGTCGCTTGCAAAAGGGAGTGTCAGAAGAGAGATTCATCGAACGAGGCAGACGGTCGTGTATCATACCCTTTATCCACGGTTCTGTACACGCTTGCCAGTCCTAATAACAGTGAACAAAAGGAGAGATACGAGCATCAGCATTTGTCCATGACCTGAAAGCCACGAAAGCCGACAAACAAGTGCAACAACAACGACAAGACAAGAGAGAGACGTACCGTTTGCTGCCTGGACCGCCACCGTGACCAAGACGAGCATACTCATTCGCGAACTCGGGGCTCTGGAACATGTGTTGCTCCATCTCATATTCCATCATGTGCGAGCCTTGGTTTCCGCCACCACCACCCATCTTGCGGTGCTTTCCACCTCCACTTGCTGCATTCTCCTTCTTGATCGACTCCAGCTCCTTCTCAAAGGCCACCTTTGCCTCCTTCTCCTTTTCATAGTTCTCCCGGACCTCGTCCATCTTGTGGTTCAAAGCCTTCAACAGTGCCTCTGACGTCTTTGTCCTGTTTAATTGTAGAAGTAGAAAAAGTGATAGAAATTAGTAGCCCATGCTTGTCAACTGACAAAAGCATATCAACAACAGCAACATCAAGAGCAAATAAAAGGTACCATTCGGCGAGAACTCTGAGCATGTCTTGAGCCTGGCCAGGACGAAGATCACGACCCATGGCAGAGTGAACCTCGACCTGCTTGAGCTTCTGATCCAGGTTGGCGTTAATCAGGTTCTGGTAGATGGCGTCCATAATCAAGTCCTCCAATTGACGCACATTGTCAATCTCCAGGTACTGCAACAAATGTGCATATGGGATAGCCTAATCGTCGAATAAGCGGAAAGTAAATGGTAAATAACACCCCTACGATTGCATGATTCATATCCAAGAGATATTGATAAAAAAAGTACATACTCGGACGCGCTCAGAGAGGGTGACGATGGAAAGCTGCAACAGCTTTGTCCTTTGCGCCACAGTAATCTCTGGCAATGAATCCTTGTTCTCTATTGCGCGCCAAAATGAGAGTAGATATATGTGAGTGTCGTTATCCAGATTGCCCTTGTTTCTGCCACCAATGAGCCAAAAGGTGATGACGCACGTTGGTAGTCCTGGTAGGTTCCATACGAGAAAATCTCGAGGAGGCGGTGGTAGCGAGCATGTTCAGGGTTCGACTTCAGCTATATCATGTTTGCAGAACGGGTGTATCCGAAAGATGTTAGCTCCCTTTCGTTGATATTCAGACTCCTTGAAAGTATCACGCGGAGCTCTCGAAACAACAAGGAAGCAAGAAAAGGTACCTCGATAACGTTGGGCATGGCGAGGAGTTCACCAAAGACGACGACGCCAGGCGCAGCGAGGACATCCTTGATGAGCTGAACACAGCCTGCGCCCTTGGCGGACTTTGACAGGGCGAGATAGGGCTCGAGGCGGCGTCCAAAGACAGACTTGAAGGACTCGCCCGTTACTGGTGTCTCTGCGCTTGCGGAAGCCATTTTTTCTCTTGTGTGTCTGGGTGTGGGTATTGTTTGAGTTGAGTTGAGTTGAGTTGAGGTTGAATGGATGTGTGTCGGTTGACTGCGGCTTGCTTTACTTTTCTTGTTGGTCTGATTTCCTGCACTGTGTGTGATGACTGATTCGCTTGTGTTTTGTTTGTGTGGTCGAATGTTTATTTTCCTGTACTCCTTGGTTGTCTTGGAAGGAGGGTGAATGTGTCGATGCGGTGAGGATTGAAAGAGAATTAGGAGTGATGGTGTGAACGCGCGTTGGCTTTGCTTGACGCCGCCTTTGTTCTTGACCTGCTGGGCCACGACTCTTGACCCTACGCCACCACCACCCCCTTCTTCCTGTCGGCCCTCGCAGTCACATTTACTAGTATTACGGGGTAGGACTTCCTTCGATCCCTCTTCACATTCATTTTTTTCGCCCTTTGCCTAGCAAAGCGTGGATGTCGTAATTAATCTCACGCCCATCCACCACGCGCCAGGAACCGCGATTGCCAGATACTTCCTATAACATATGGAGGCATGTCCAACACGCGTGTTTATTGTTCTTGCATTCACATGAAGGTGCTTATTTGTTTAACGACATCTTAGTTCCTAGACCGGCTTACGTGGTTCTCTTCATCCCAAAAAAAAATATGATCGCGTCTCTTGGACATTTGTTTCCTTCACAGGGGAGCGTCCTTTTTCACTTTTATTTTCGTCGTCCTCGTTGTTCGGTACTTCCTCCCTGTCACTTTGCCAAAAATAAGATCAAGGGTGTCCAATTGGATCCAAATGTGCCACGTTGATTTCTTCATCTTCGCTTTCCTTTGAGTTTTTTTTTTTACCTTTTGGTACCTTCGGCAATGGTTCGGTCGCTCGGTCCCTTTTTTTCGTTTATTTTGCCTTTCGGTTGGATGGATAGCTTCTGGAAGGTGACTTGTTATCCTTCTTCCTACCCCTTGAGAAGGATAATTAATCAACCCACGTCTGTCAGCACAAATTAACCTCTTTCGGGAATATCTTCGTTGGTGTGTGCCACGCGAGACGGTCGCACAGGAGGAATAGAGTCAATAGACACACTGAGCCAGGGGCTCAAAGCGACTAATAACGCTGTCAACAAAAAGAAAGACATGAGCAATGACGACGCCTAGAAGAAGATCGTACGTCTGCCGATCTGACTTGGACCCCCCAGTGCGCCCAATTAGCTAGACTCATTTCCCGAGAAAAGAGTGGACATCGACCCGAGCCGGAGGGACCATAAACAGAGTTCGCTTCTGTTGTTGACGCACCGACTTTAGCACGCATACATGTATATCGTCCCACAAATGATCGAGAGTACTTACTCCACAGGGTATAAAAAGGTATAAATAGGGGAGCAGCAACGAGAAGGACAATCTCTATTCCCATTTTTTCTTCTCTTCTCAACTCTACAATATTACCACTGGACAACGATACATCCAGGATACTCACACACACACACACACATACACAACACGCACCTTTACTTAAAACAAACACCCAACAGACAGCAATGGAAGCAGTGGCAGGAGCAATCACAAGTGCATCAAATGCATCGCCAACATTCAAAAAGTTCCTCCAACAACTCACCCGTAAGAACCTCTCCCACGCCTTCGTCGTCTACATTCTCGCCGTCATTTTCAAGTACCGCAACACTGCTTTTGGCGTCAAGCCTCGACCAGATCTCAAGGGGCCCAGAGGTCACCCTCTCATCGGAAACATGATCCTCATGGCCCTCACCCCTCGCAACCAGATTTCGCAACAGAACGAGCAAATGCATGAGGAGTTTGGCTCCACCTGGTCTTTCTCTGTTCCTAAACTGGGAAGAGTTATTCAGTTCAAAGATCCTGCTGTGTTGGAGTATGTGTTGAAGACAAATTTTTGGGCGTATGAGAAGGGGCCTTTGATTCAGGAGACTCTCCATGACCTCTTGGGTCTTGGTATCTTTGGCGCCGATGGACACGTAGGTTACCCTTTTCAGTCTCATACAGTTGGTCAACAATGGATTAAAAGAGCACAACTAACATTTCTTCTTTCTTGTGCTTGTTAGCTATGGAACTGGCAAAGAAAGATGGCATCCCACATTTTTAATGTCAAAGCATTCAGAAATGTAAGTGGGTCCATGTATGCATGCATGCATATCAGAGTGATAATAGCAAGTAAAGCAAGTACAACACTCAATACTCACCATTGAAAACCTTTATCGCTTATAGTACACGAGTGCAGTCTTTGTCAAGGAATCCAACATCGTGACGGAATACTTGGGCCAAATGTCGGACGACGGCAATATTGTCGACATCCACAACCTCTTTTACCTCTACACCCTCGACTCTTTCGGCGAGTAAGTACTTTCTCTCAACACCGCCCTATGGATGATCTGCGCTAGGAGGACCAAACAGATGTTAACCATCTTCTATTTTTCATGTGGATTAGAATCTCGTTTGGTCAGACATTCGGCTGTTTGAAGGTACCCGAACAAGAAGTCGAGTTTGCAGCAGCCTTCGACCGCCTCAACACCGTCGTCTTCAACCGTCTCTTTACAGGCGCATACAAGTTCCGCGAATGGGTCACAGGAACTGCAAAGGAGGTCACCAGGGACAAGAAGATCATCACCGATTTTGCACTTGACGTAATCCGTCACCGCCGCGTCCATGGATACGACAAGCCCCAGAAAGATCTCTTGCAGTTGTGCATGGATATCGATGGTGATGATGGCAAGCCTCTCTCGGATGAAATGCTCAAGGATTTGGTGCTCAACTTTATTATGTACGTACACCATTGGAGAGTCGATCGATCGGATTCGGTTATTTGTCCGTGCATCACGCACAAGTACTGTTGTGCTTGTACAAACACACTTACTGAGCTGACAATCATATTTTTTCTTGCTCATTAGCGCCGGACGCGATACGACGGCACAAGCATTGTCGTGGATGTTCTATTTGTTGCATCGTTCGCAGACGGATCCCAATGTTATCAAGAAGCTGGTCAGAGAGGTCGATGAGGTTCTTCGTGGAGAGGAGCCTACCTACGACACCTGCAAAACCATGAAATACGCCGAGGCCTGGTAATAATCCCCTTCTGTGTTTGTTGTTCGATGGCTTCTTTTCATTTTTTTTCACAGTGTCTTTGGGTTTAACATTCACACCTTGTTAACTTTCACGTCTTCCTTGCTCTGAACTTGGACACTGCAGTCTCTATGAAGCTCTTCGCCTTTACCCTAGTGTCCCAAGGAACATCAAGGTTGCCGTCCAAGATGATGTCTGGCCAGGTACAGTATCGCTCACAAACACAAACTCAATTGCAGGACATTGACACTCAACCTAACCATCCCTTTCCAATTACCCTTCATTATTGTCCAATAGATGGCACAAAGATTTACAAGGGCGAGTTTGTGAGCTGGAGCAGCTGGACAATGGGCCGTGCAACTGAGGTGTGGGGCCCAGATGCCAAGGAGTACAATCCCGACCGCTGGATGCAAGGCGAAAAGTTCTCTGCCCACAAGTTCCCCGCCTTCCACGCCGGACCCCGCACATGGTAAGACATCTCTTCTTGTTTCTTTCATTCTGGCTCTTTCGTATCCAAGCATGCAATAACGTATACAAACTCCTTTTCTTGTCCTTTTGTCATATTCATCTCTAATTTAGCCTGGGACAACAGTTTGCGACGGTGGAGGGAATCACACTCATGTCGATGTTGTTCCAAAAGTTCTCGTTCGAGTTGATCGACCCCGATACCGAGCCTGGCTATGTTCCTGGATTGACCTTGCCCATGGCCGATGGTCTCAAACTTCGCGTCAAGAGACGCATTTTCTAGATGAGATAGAATGGCAGCAAACCCTTACTACTCCTTTTTGTGATATTATATACAACCTTTGATTCGCCTTTCCCTTTGTCCTTCCCTTTTTTTCTCATGTTCGAGAAGAAGAGATCTCTTTGTGTCTTTGTGCGTAACAAGAAATGGGAAGGAAGGAAATATTCCTCCTTCCCGTGCAATGTTTTTTGTTTACTCTCCTTGGCACAGCAGAAAGAAGGGGAAGATAGCAGCGGAAACTTATTTTCAAGTCCAATAGAGGGGAAATGGTTGTTCGTTCTTTTTTCTAACCTTGATCTGCTGGTGCATGGTGCGTGAGTATATAACCTTGTACCCATTTAGCGACTAGCTCGCACAGTCGAGCTGTGTCTATGCTGTGTTCCACAGTACCATACACTCTTTCGTGAGTGGTCATTGTTTTTCCTAGTAGAGGAACACAAGATGAGTGCGAGTAAAAGATACGAGTAAGGCAGAACGAAAAAAAGGGCGCTGTTTTGCTTTGTGCATTGGGCAGCAACCATCAGGGGAAGGGATGTGCTGTCTTGCCTTGCAATCCCCCTACTCTTTCCCGCGGAAAAAAAGTGGCGATTAAAAAAGTTGGTCACTCCTTCCCTTTATTTTACATTCTTTCTTTACCTCAACCTCCTTTCTTTTCCTTCTTTCTTCCTTCCCTTACCATCCACAAACAAAAGCACTCTCCCAACATCACTTTTCGCTTCTTTTTCAACATCACGAACACACACGCAACTCTCGCCTAGAGTCGCACGCCTTCAATGATGGATTCAATAGCAAACAAACTCTCTCGGACAAAGTACACCTCCGTATGGATAGTCCTCGGACTCCTCCACAACCTCACCATCTACCTCACCCACCACAAACGCAGCCTTTCAAGATTCCTTTGCGCATATACCCTCCTCTACATTTTTACACACCGCAGAACTGCCATCGGCGTCACCCCACGCAAGGATCTCAAATCCCCTGGTGGTAGCCTACCTCTCGTCGGAGACATCGTCAAAATGACCTTCCAGCCTCGGACCGAAGTCTACCAGTTGAACGAGAAGATCCATAAGGAGGTCGGAAGAGTGTTTGCGATTACGTTGCCGTTTGTGGGGAGGGTTGTGGATTTTACGGACCCCGCGGTGTTGGAACATGTGTTGAAGACCAACTTTTGGGCGTATGAGAAGGGAGAGTTTTTACGACGGACGTTTTTTGATTTGCTGGGCAATGGTATCTTTAGCGCCGATGGACACGTACGTCTCTCTTTTTCTTCTTTCGAGATAGCATATGAAGGAGTGTGTATATATGTGTATGCACACCTTACAGCTCTTTCTTTATCATGGTCTTAAGTAGTCATGGAACTGGCAGAGGAAGATGGCTTCGCATATATTCAACGTCAGCGCATTCAGACACGTACGTCGTCATTTCATTTACCTTTTTGTTGTTAAAAGGCCTTCATTGTCTGACAACGAAGCATTGACCCCTGCATTGACCCAATTTTTTCCCACACATGGACGTACACGAATGGGACTACTGTAGTACACGAGCGAGGTGTTTGTCAAGGAATCATACATTGTCGCGGACTACCTGGGGATGATTGCCGAGGAAGAACGAACAGTTGACATCCACAAGCTGTTCTACCTTTACACCCTCGACTCCTTCGGCGAGTGAGTATTTTTTGAAAGTTGCCATTGTCTTTCATACCTCTCTCCACTCACATAACAAAATGGCCTAACAGCGAGTCACCTCTTAATAGGATATCGTTCGGACAGTCATTCGGATGTTTGGACTCGCCCGAGGAAGGCACTGTCGAATTCGCCGAAGCCTTCGACCGCCTCAACACCATCGTCTTCAACCGCGTCTTCACCCCCGGATGGCAGCTTACAGAGTTCCTTACCTCCCGTGGACGCCAAATCCGAAAAGACAAACAAACCATCGCCTCCTTTGCCCTCAAAATCATCCGCGACCGACGGATCCACGGATACGATAAACCACAAAAGGATCTCTTACAGCTATGCATGGATATGCAAGATGTAGAGGACGGGAGACGCTTGTCGGATGAGGTGTTGAAGGATATGGTGCTGAATTTTATTATTGCTGGTAGGGATACGACAGCGCAGGCGTTGTCGTGGACGTTTTATTTGTTGTTTAGGAGCCAGACGGATCCGCGGGTTGTGCAAAGGCTGGTGGAGGAGGTAGATGGGGTGTTGAAGGGGCAGTCGCCGACATTTGATTCTTGCAAGAACATGAAGTTTTCCGAAGCATGGTACGTTTCTTCTTTTTGTTGGATCGTGTGCAGGGTTTATGAGGAAATGATAACAGTTACTAACATATACCCTCTCCTTTCAACGCTTAATTGTTTACTTTTTTTTGCTAGTGTTTATGAAAGTAAATCTGAAGTGAAACGCTAGTGTCTGTTTGTGTCGCGATGATAGTATGGTCAACAGCGATTTTATACTCCTTTATGCTTTGTATCCGGTCAATGTAATAGCATTGCGACTCTACCCAAGCGTCCCCGGGAACATGAAAGTCGCCGTGCAAGATGATGTCTGGCCAGGTATACAGTCCCACTTGCAGTTGCAAAAACAAAAGGACACCATATATCCATTGAACACAGTCAATCTAACTCATCCTTCTTCCAACTTCAATTAGATGGCACAAGGATATACAAGGGCGAGTTTGCGAGCTGGAGTTCATGGACGATGGGTCGTGATACAACCATCTGGGGCCCTGACGCAAGAGAGTATGACCCAGACCGCTGGATGACTGGTGAAAAGTTTCCGGCACACAAGTTCCCCGCCTTCCACGCCGGGCCTCGCAAATGGTACCTTTTTTTTACTAATTCTTTGCGTACTTGTATCCGTAAACATAAATAGGTGTACTCACTCCTTTCTTACCCTTTTTCTTATTAGCCTGGGACAACAGTTTGCGACGGTAGAGGCAATCACGATTCTGGCAATCCTTCTACAGAGATTTACGTTTGAACTGGTCGATCCTGACACGGAACCTGAATATATCCCAGGACTGACGCTTCCTATGGCGAATGGTCTACCCCTACGCGTCCACCAGCGCCCTGTATAGTTTTTCTCTCATTTTTCATAGATGCATTATGTGTAGGTGGGCGTATAGGAATGAGGAGTGGTTCCTAGCCCTATTTGGGCGTATGCCTGTGACCCGAACCGAATAAAATTTAATTCCGCCTGAACCGTGCCTTTTTTTATAATGCTCGACCTTCCACACTACAATGTGCCACCCCATGTGCCGCCCCATGTTCCCCCTTTCACTTTCAACAACGGATGAATTGTTGTTGATGGTGCCGTGCCGAAAGGGAGGTCTTCGCGTTTGAAAACAACAACAGACTTTGGGCGCGAGTTTTGGGGATCAGGTAATTTGGACTATTCCACTCCACAAATCCCTGCTCCACGCTTTGGATGGGCTGATCCTGCACAACAAACAAACAAACAATTAAACGTGGTGGGTGGCCGTTCTTGTTTATTATTGGGACCATGTATTGTAATAGGGACTTCATATACTTTTCAACGCGTAAAAAGACCTATTGTCTCTCACCCCGAGAATAAGAGAACAGAACGAAAACACAATCGACAACAACAGTGGAAGCAAAGACGGAAGAGGAGGAGGAGAAGGAGAAGAAGAAGAAGAAGAAAGTCTACGCCAACCATCTCATTCCTCGTCTTCTTCCGTTTTCCGTTTCCATTGGTTTGCATAGCCTCTTTGGTCGGGTGACAACTCCTTTCAAAGTATTCATTACTTGCATTGCATAAGAAAAGACGTCCTCACCTATCAACAAACAATGACAACAAAAATAAGTCGCGGTCTTGAATGGCCCCCTGTTGCCCTGCATTTTTGTTATCTTCCTCGATGGACCCAATGGATGAAATCGAGTATTGGACAAAGCATACAGTCGATTGTCGACCAAAAAATAAAATAAAAATGGTGTGGCCATGCTCACTAATCCCACCTGTCCCCTAAAAAAACTGCGCATCCGCAGACGTGTGTCCCAACGAAAAACAAGCGAGTGACCAATTCGAGAAGCAGGACGCTAGAAAAAAGAAGAGAGAGAGCGAGAGGGAGAAGCACTAGAAAGAGAGGAACGCATCCTCTCAGTGGAGAGGCGAAGGCACTGCAGGGATTCCTTCCTTATCCATCCCCCAATCACACTTTATCGTTGCTTGTTGTCGCGCATAGGTCACTACGGATTCCACGTATCCCATCCATGCCGGCGATCGATCGGACTTTTTTCGCACACACTGCGCACGTATACCTGTCTCCTACTATTTGTCGCAACTCTGTCAGGGTTAAGGGAGGAAGACAGATGTGGCGTGTGAGGGTGGAGTGAGGAGAAAGTGGTCGGAGGGAGGAGACAAAGTCAATTCGGATAGTTTGTTCATGGCGTTGCTTTCTTGATTGGCCCATCCGGCGCTGTTACCGCTATTTGTTTGTTTTTTATGTAAGAAAAGTAAGACAACATAGGACGCACAAGAAGAACGAAGAGATAAAAGATGAGGAGGAGGATGACCGTCGGTGTGGTTCATGGTTCATTCGTATTATCAAACACACACAAACAAAACAAAACGAGTTGCATGCAGGCATCTTAACACATTTTGGGCGAGAGAGAGAAAAAAAGAATGAGAGAGAGAGAGAGAGAGAGAAGGACAGAGTGAAGGAGAACTGAGTCCGATGGAGTATCTATCAGACACTCTCTCTGTTCATCATGCACATGGGACAAACGGGAGAAAAAGAATGAGAAAAAAAAACCGAATTGCTCTCAACTCCAAATGGTATTAGGTGACCATGGGTATTTGTTGCCAGGTTGTTTATCTGTCTGTCGGAATTATTTGTTGTTGTTGGGCCTGCATTTGTGGCACCATTGAAGTTTGAACAGCTGAGAGCAAAGAGAAAGGGAGAGAGAACAGAGTGTGAGAAAACAGAGAAAACAGAGAAAACAAAGCGACAGACAAATGGAGGGAGTATATGTCATGCAATGCCTCTCTTGTCTGACCATGGCCCGCCTACCCAATGGTAAACCATTCCAACATGGCCAACCGCAGTTGCTTCGACGGGCAAAGTGGTATGAAATGAGGAAAGAGAGAGGGCAAGGAGAAGAAATAGACGCTCAGTCAATCTTATTTCCTCCGGGAAGAATGAAGAGTAATGAACTCTATGTAGAACGAGGCACCAACAACTTCCACTCCCACACCCGAAATAACATTTTCAGACAGACTGTGTGTGCGTCCTCCGATCGCACATGTCCGACCACTAAGGAGGGAGAGAAGAGGGGAAAGCGGAAGAAAACTCAAATATGAGAGCAATTGAATTGCCTAGTCGTACTGTCTTCATGGGTCTTACAGGAAGATAGCCGATCGATGCTAGCAACTCCACCACCATCATGCTCAGTTCCCAGTCTCGAACCTTTTGTTAGCGTTAGTGTATTAAGTATTAACTAACCACCTTCAACTACAGTACCATACCACACCCTTCTTTATTCCCATTCTCGGGGTTCTTTTGTCCGGCACCAGTGTACTCGAGTCGACTGTCCTTTTGTTATATATTTTCATCCTCAGCGCTCATTCTCACTCCTTTTCTTCTTCTTCATCGTCTCACACTTTCCACTCTCACTCTTCTCCCCCCACACCATCCTCTCATCCTTATCTTCCTCTTCTTCCTCCTCCTTCACTTTTGTAACGACCCACTACCCTTACTCCACAATCACACACATATACGTAAAATGGAATCAGCATTGACATATTTCTCAGAGGCTGCCAAGTCGTCCGCAGCCCTCTCGTTCCTGCTCAAGGCATTCGAACGCAACAATGCCCCCAAGACCGCCCTCGGCCTTTTCATCGCCTACTACCTCATCAAGTACCGCGACAACGTCGTCGGCACCCGTCGCACCAACCTCCCCGGACCCCGTGGTCTTCCCCTCATCGGCAACCTGATCCTCTTCCTCCGCCTGCCCATGACCCAAATGTCCCAGTTGCACGACCGCTTCCACGAAAAGTACGGCGAGACCTGGACGTGCACCATCCCCGGTGCCGGTCGCAACATCATGGTCAACAACCCCGATGTCCTCGAACATGTCTTGAAGACAAACTTTTGGGCATACGAGAAGGGTCCTATCTTGCAAGAATCGATGGCCGATCTTTTGGGACAGGGTATCTTCGGTGCCGATGGCAACCTCTGGAAGTGGCAGCGCAAGCTTGCCTCCCACATCTTTAACGTCAAGGCCTTCCGAGGTAACGTCTTGTTGCTCTTTCTGTGTTTCTGTTGTCATCATCCCCCATCTCTTGAATGGTTGCTTTTGTTTCCCGAGATTCGTTTGCATTGGAATGAGACATGAGAGTCGAGATCCGAGCATGATTGAGTAAAGTGAATGAATGAATGAATGAATGAATGTATAACTAAAAAAAAAGAGGGACGTCGAATCTGACGTTGAATAGAATAAGATAACTGCCATCGAGGAAGGGAAGAGAGGAATGCCAGTTATGCCAGTTGAACACTATCCTACCCTTCGTCATGCCCATGGTCCATTCCTCCCTACTCTCCCTATGACTTGCTCATGCATTCATGCTAACCTTTCTTCTTTGGTTGATTGCCCTTTGTCAATAGACTACACGAGCAATGTCTTTGTCAAAGAGTCCCAGATTGTCTCCGACTACTTTGATACCATTGCTGAGCGTGGCACCACCGTTGACGTTCACGACGTCCTCCTCAGATTCACCCTCGACGGCTTTGGCGAGTAAGTCTCTTCGCTCCTTCTACGTGTACAGGCTCTTTCATCCTCCTACCTCCCCCTACACACAAACATTGTACCCAGTTGTTATCATATCCACCATTCCCCCCCTTGCGACAACTACGCCTCATGCCCTTCGGTTCACAGAGATTATGACCGAACACACGGACTTTGGTGGCACTTGAGCACCTGCGCACCTCCTTACCTCTCCTTCGTCCCCATACTCTCAGCCTCACCATGCCGGACAGAATCGATATCAACTACACCCACGCGTCGGAGGCATTGACCACGACACATTAACAACGCAAACTACAACGAACAAAGGCACCGTAGTCTCTAATCCATCCCTTCACTTTACGTGGGTTGGAATCTCATTCCAACATCTTCCCGAAGTGGTCTGGGTTTTTGGATATCGGTACCTGGCAGACCTGATTTTTTTTCGTCCTTATATGGCAGGTTGTTAAGGGTTCAGGCGTTGTCCGCATCGCATCAAATATAATCTCCCACCTGAACCCTGATCAACATGCCATAAAAGGACGAAAAATCAGGTCTGCCAGGTACCATCCAAAAAACCCAGACCACTTCGTGACGATGTTGGAATGTGATTCCAACCCACGTAAAGTAAAGTGATGGATTCGAGACTAAGGCACCGGACACACAATCGAGCACGAAGAAGACATTCACTATGCCACCTCAACCCGCTTGTGCATAACAAACATAAACTAATATTCCCTCGATGCTTAATTTGTGCAACCAAACCAAACCAACAATAGGGTCTCGTTTGGACAATCATTCGGATGCTTGGCCAACCCTGAGGGCGAAGTCGACTTTGCTTTGGCCTTTGACCGTCTCAACGCCATCGTGAGTGAGCGTCTCTTCAAGGGTCCCTGGAAGTTCGTCGAGTGGCTCGACGGAACCAGCAAGATCGTCGCCAAAGACAAGAAGACCGTGACTGATTTCGCGCTCAATATTATCCGTGCTCGTCGTCAGGAGGGTTACCACAAGCCTCAGAAGGATCTTTTGCAGTTGTTCATGGACCTCAAGGGCGAGGATGGCGAGCCTCTTTCGGATGATATGCTGAAGGACTCCATCCTCAACTTCATCATGTAAGGGTTTCTTATTTGACACCTTTCAGCAAGGGCGGGTGCGGTACAACGGTCGACAAATATGCAAAGAAGACAGTATTCTTACTGACACCTGGATTCTGTCACTAACGCGGTTATTTATGAACGTGCTACCCATACACTAGCGCGGGACGTGATACGACGGCACAGGCACTTTCATGGATGTTCTACTTGATCCACAGAGACCAGTCCGACAAAAACATTGCCCGCAAGTTGCGCGAGGAGATTGACGAGGTCATCGGCGATTCCGAGCCCACCTACGAGACCACCAAGAAGTTGAAGTATGCCGAGGCATGGTACGTTCCTTTCATTATTCCCATCTGCGCTTGAGACGCGTCCTGTCGTTTTCTATGTGTCTATGTTGCATATGTGTTTCCTAGTTTGAGCGCACCTGTGGCGCTCCCATTTGTATGATCCCTTGATTACTCAACTCATTTCACCATTTGTTGTCATTCTTGAAAACCCCCTTCCTCTCATTTCTTCCATTGCCGAATCCGATGGATTATCCGACAATGCAGCTTCAACGAAGGTATGAGACCAAAAGAACGCAAAGCGATTGGCATATGCAGCTATCGAGCAAGCAGTGCGAGTAGACGAACATTCCTTGCGAAATGGAGGTATATGCATGACCCACGAGTGCTCCTTGGTACTCACACTCTCCAATGTTCTCATTTTTACCGTTTTAGCCCTCCGCCTGTACCCCTCGGTTCCTCGCAACATGAAGGTCTGCGTCGAGGATGATGTCCTCCCCAGTACGTATACTTCGATACACACACTCTCTCTCGCATATTGCAATGTATCTTGTTTGCCATAATATTACGTATTAAACCACCTACTTTTCTTGATGCAAAATAGACGGAGTGGAGATCAAGAAGGGCGAGTTCTTCTTGTGGAGCCCTTGGACCATGGGCAGAGACACCCGTGTCTGGGGTCCTGATGCCATGGAGTTCAACCCTGACCGCTGGCTCACCGGCGACAAGGCTACTCCCTTCAAGTTCCCTGCCTTCCATGCCGGACCCCGCACCTGGTAAGACATACCTTTGCTTTTTTTTCGCTCTTGCCCGTTACTGCAGTTTTTGTTACCATGTTGCAAAACAAAGAAGTAAACGCACCAACTAACCACTTTTCCATCCTTTGGTTCCAATACATAGCTTGGGTATGCAGTTCGCGACTGCAGAGGCAATGACATTCATCGCAACAGTCTTCCGTCGCTTCACATTCGAGTTGGTCGACCCTGTCAACGAGCCAGGCTACGCTGCCGGTTTGACCCTCCCCATCGCTGCCGGTCTCCCCATCCGCGTCCGCCGTCGCGAGTTGAACCAGGACACCACCGCCGTCGCCCTTTAAACTTTTCATACTGTACTTTCAAATAACAAAACGAAAGAAAAGCATAATAAAAAATAGCAGTTGTATTTTACCCGATCAATTTCGCTATGGTCACCAATGGACCCTACGGGTTGTGAAGCAGTGAGGGAGCGCACACTAGTAGCTCTCGTTTTTGTTTGTTAGAGCTGGTCATCTCCTAGTTCTCTCCTCGTTGGTGAGTTTTGTCCCCTCACGTTTTTCGTTTTGTTTGTTCTGTTTGCTTTGTGGTCTTCTCCCTTTTCTCAGACGAAAAGCCCTGTGTTCTTTTGCTCTTTTGTTTGCTTTGTTGATTGCAACACACTTACATGCCTACAATTTTTTTTTTCAGGAACCAATACCCGGTCAGCGATGAGGCCACGAGTGCCCCACTCGACGTTCTTGGTAGCCGACACGGAAGTAGTTAGCACTACTCCATCCCATCCTTATATTCATATGTATCCCATATTCATATGGGATGGGATGAAGTGTGTGGGGGAGAAGTGGTGGCCGACATGTGCGTGGGGGCGAGAAGAAGATGGGCAAAGCAAGGAGACGGAAATAGTGAAAATGAAGCGAAAAGGGATGGGCACTTTCTGTCGTCTGCTTGTATCTATCGACCTTTGAATACACGCGTGCGTGACATGGTATGGCATGCTCCATTACATTCATCTGTATCTCAATGGGGTTTTCGAACACCCACATCGTTATGTCCTTGCCGTAGCCAGAAAGACACAAAAAATAGAGGTGTTGAGAAGAGTACGAAAATGATGTTTGATGCCACAGGAGGAAGGGACCCAGTGCCATGCGCATGTAGTGACACCTTTGGCAACAGGCAGCAATGGGTTCTTAGCTTCTCCTAGTCCTGCTTTTGGTCGCTCTTTTTTCACATATCCTTCTCTCTCCCTTCTCTTTCTCCTCCGTAGAACGAGTCACCGTCCTCTTTTGAGAGAAAAGAAGGGAGAGGGCGAAAAGGGATGACGACAGACTGGAGAGAGTATGGAAAAGGTGGAAGGGTGAGACTGGAGAAGGGAAATGGAGAAATCAGTTCTGGCCCCAGACAAGGCGTGGTAACGCCTTGGCTTTCTTCGTTTTTGTTGTGGTTTTGATGTTTAGACAATTAAGTCCCAAGGGGCAACACACACAGAGCACGAACACATTAAAAGCTTCCCACTCTCATAATCACCCAGCTGGTTCCCATCGAATATAAATACCTGCAACGGGTAGCCAGGTTTGCTCTTGTTTTTTTTCTGCTTCTTAACAAACACACTCAAAGCTCCATCTTCGCCTATACCAACAACAAAACACAACAATGAAGTCCTTCACCGCTATCCTCTTCGCTGCCCTTGCCATCATGACCCTCACCTCTGCTGCTCCATGTAAACCTCTATTCTTTTCAACACTACTCTATCAATACATCCTTCCCGCCTGAATGTAAAAAGCAAAGAAACAAATCAAATTAACGATCCAACCGTCCAACTCTCATCCACTCTATAAATTGTCACGAAAAATAGTGCCACAGGAGGACACTGGATCCAAGGTTGAACTCGGGAACCAGGAGTGCAAGAAACCTATCCAAGATAGATTCGAAAAGTGCATGGTGAAGGGTATTGCGAGCGAATGCGAAAAACCCTAAGACGAGGACAACAGACAGTGCGACATTGACTACCCGACCAGAGCTCCTCTTAGACAGAAAATTTGGGACATGAGGCAACATAAACATGTCGACTCCACAGCTCAACCCAGAGACGACTACTAACCACACTTTCAAGTCTGCGATTTTCACTATTTACTACTCTTATCTCTATCCAATAAAAAAAAGGCAACCCATACTTAATACATGTAGCTTTATGGCGAGGTGTTTGTGAGAGGGTACAATGGTGGAATAAATAGGATGAGTTTACAGCTCTTCGGTGTTGATGAGGACATTGTCGATCAGACGGGTGGTGCCGACATAGACGGCGCCAGACAAGATGGCCGCCTGAGATTCACCCAAGACCTGCAACTCGCTCAAGGTCTCAACATCGACCAACGACAAGTAGTCCAAACGGATATCAAAATCCAATCCTTGGTCCTTGCACTCTTGCTTGACCTGCTCAATGATCGCATAGGCGGGCTTCAAGATCTCTTCGCGGTCTTGGACTTTGTGCTCGACAATGTTCTTCTTGGCAGCCGTGATGGCCCGGTAGAGCAGCGTGGAGATCTTGCGCATCTCGGGGGTCAAGTACCGGTTACGCGATGACATAGCCATGCCGTCAGCCTCACGGCAAGTGGGGACGGCACGCATGGTGATGGGCAACAACAGATCACGGATCATGGCACGGAGGACCACACACTGCTGGGCATCCTTCTGACCGAAAAAGGCACGGTCTGGCTGGACAATATTGAACAGCTTGGTGACAACAGTCGCGACTCCGCGGAAGAAGTGGGGGCGGGGGATACCCTCCATCTGGTGGGAGAGTCCCTGGACCTCGACAAAGGCGCCACGCTGCTGGGACCGGTCAAGAGAAATGCCGACGGGGTACATTTCGCTGACCTTGGGGAGGAGGATCGCTGCACATGCGTTTGTCGAGACCAAAGATGCATAGTCGGTGTCGAAGGTGCGGGGGTACTGATCGAGGTCCTCGTGAGGGGCAAACTGGGCGGGGTTGACAAAGATCGAGACTACGACCGCGTCACACTCCTTCTTAGCTGTCTTCACTGCGAGTGGGAAATAGAGAGAGGTAAGGGAGATGAATAAGATGTAGAAAATATACGCGCGTGTTCGTGACCTTTCAAGGGGAGACGCGTCGAGGTCGCGAAATCAGAACCGCATCAATATTGTCTCGGACATTATCACTCAAGAAAGGCTGTCGATCAATCGTTCTCGTTCTATTTCTTGTTCTTTGATCAGTAGCCAATAATAATTCATTCTTAGGATACATACCGAGGTCCAGGTGTCCATCATGCAGGGCTCCCATGGTAGGGACAAAGCCAACGACCTTGTTCTGGCGGGTCTGCTCCTTGCGCCACTCGCGGAACGCTGCAATCGAGTCGAACACTGGGATCTTGCCTATTGCATCCATTGGAACATAGAGCAGCGAGAACCAGGTAGGTTAGGACTATGGATTCAACTGTGTGGGACATCAATCGACTGAATATGGTCAAGAGGAGTGATAAACTTGCCTTCAGCAGCAGTGGTGGCATGGGGGGTGTTGTTGGAGGGAGTGCTCATTTTGGAGAAAGAGGTGGCCGAGAGGGATGAAAACAGTCTGGGTTCTATACAGCGTGTGAAGAAGTTGGGCGACGAGAAGGAGGAGGAGGAAGTGGAGTGGAGAACAGGTAAGGTCCTGGTCTTGTTGACGCTGGTGTGCTTAAGTTGTTGCTTGTGGGCGAGAGTGGAGGTGAGGAAGGAACGTGCTTGGAGTGTTGCTGAAGTAGTAGTGGGTGTTTGGAGTCGGGACAAGGCTCTGGTGGCAGATGCCTTTGAATAGCGGAGCATTAGGAAGAGAGTGTGTGGATGTGTATGATCTCGATCGACGTTACCGGATCCGGAGTGGAATCTGATGAAAGGAGAGAGATGGATGGGGGAGTAGGTGATCCGGGAGAGAGTGCGGAGGAAAGAAAGGATAAAGAAAAGAATCGAAATGTGTCAACAAGGAATGATCTGCTCTGCACTTTAGTACATAGTGGTACGAGTGCCAGTCGGGCTGCGGTGTGGAGATACTTGGCCCGGCTTGACACATTTCCATCTGACTTCCCACGGGTGTGGGCGAACCACCCAAGCCACCTCTTCACACTTTGACCATGCTCATAAGGAAATCAAACGTCGAACTATCTCCATGCCCACAGAAGGATCAGGTATGCCTCTCTGCACCCTTCTTCAACCTGCACACAAACGCAGTTTGTTTTGTATTCAATTTCTTGATGGCTGCTATATCCCGAGTATCTATTGTCAAGGAAGAAAGCACAGCTGGAAGTGGATTCCTCGAGTTCTTTATTTTTGCTATTTGTTGCTGATAGTGGCGTGAGCGGGTAGTGCGGTTGAGATTGGGGTGTCGATAAATGAAATATCAGGATGGTGGGTGTCAAGAGAGTCCGATGTATATCTAGTTGAAGCGCGCGTTGGGGTGGATCTTGGGCTCGACGGTAAAGACAGTGTCGAGCAGCTTGTCGAGGACAGCCCCGCGGTTCTTGGCGAATGCAGCCTCAATCTCGACGCGCTTCTGCTCCGTCTCAACCTCGACACGGTGCGATGTCTGATCCGATGATCCAGCGTGCTAAAAAAATTGCATGTATATGTAAAAGGGGGTTTTCAAAGGTCAGGTTGTTTTCTACTAGATCGCATGACAACATGCTATATCAAGCCTTTTGTCTTGTTTTCTCTCGTCTTCCTCTTCTGTATCCAATCCAGGGCACTAGCCAAACAAGCACCCTCCAATGCAACAAAGAGAAAAGTGAATGTAGTACCTCCTGCTCAAAGTTCTGGAAGGCTTCATTCTTGGATGCCTTCAATTCCTCGATCTCCTTTGCTGCCTCGGCACGAGCATCCTTGAGTCTCTGGACGCGGTCTACTCGCCGTCAATTGTGTCGTGTCGGTGCGGTTGTTGTTTTGCAGTATTCGGTATGGGTGTCAATGTTGGTGTCGGCGATAGCAGTCGTAGAAGTCGTCAGCGGAGAGCGTGTTTGTACAAAAAGAACAATGTTTGTTAGTCAATGTGTCTCTCTTTCTTCCAGGGCTCTAAATCGACAACGCGCATGCATAACCGAAAGAGGTTGCTTACAGGTGCGGGCCTTCTGGACAATCTTGGAGGCCTCCTTCTCGGCCTCGAGAAGGGTCTGGATACCTGGAGAGTTGGATGCTGCCTATGGTGACGAGTAAAAGCGAGGTTGAGTTAGGAAATGGTCATTCTCAGCTCAAAGCGGATGCAAAGTGACGTCGAGCACGAGAGGGAGAAAAGTCGACGAAATAATCCTGTTGTTGATGCAGTGTGTGTGCCATCCTGGACAAAACAGTAGGTTCGCCTCGGTCAAAGAAAAGAAGAAGGTGATATGTGTTTGTGAGAGTATTACCATCTGTGTAAAAGGTGAAGGTGATAATTGATGGGAGTGGAGTGTAGAAAGGAAGTAAGGTCAAGTCGAGGTACAAGGAGGTCTCTTTGGTTTAAAGTCGAGAGGACATGGAAGACTGCCCCTGGAGTGCGACGTGACGACCCAAAGCACACAGCGGTGATGAAAGGGATCGTGCAGTGCATGCGATCCAATCATCTTCCATGATGCATTCAAAGGCGTTTTAAACGCTGTCGTTGGTGGCAATTCACTTCAGCTCTTGCACACCTTCAAGAAAGAAACGACCATGGCGGAGGAACTCAAGAACAAGGTGCGCACAACAAACACATCGCACAGGAGCACCCACTCGCCTACACTCTTTCACATACACGCAACAGCTACTTCCGCTTTTCACTGACCATGATTCTTCCATTCCCTTTTCACACCTCAACTTGTTCAGATCCATGAACTTGACATTCTGACCGAGGAGCTGTCGTCGCTTCGCCCCAAGGCTGTAAGTACTCACACAAACGATAATGGCGTACAAGTGTTGTTATTGGCACATACATATACTATCACCCCACTAATGCTCATACCAACACTTCACACCAAATCTACTATCATAGACGATCTACGCGAAGCGAGTACCTTCGTCCAAGCTCTTTTTCTTGGAAAACAAGAAGCAATTAGTCAACAGCAAGAAGAGTAAGTTTGATTTTTCGCCTTGTCGTAGTTACTATTAGGGCAAGTTACACCAGAGACATCAAGGACCCCATCTAACTCTAACCATGTCGTTCAACGATACTAGAGGAACTCGCTGAAGCCAAGACCGAGCTGGCCAGCGTCCCCAACTTTCGCCCCTAAGAGAGAGGCCACTATCGGCTCGCCTGCAGTCAAGTTGCCACTAGATGTCGTGTCGAGCCAGTGAAATGGACCAATTTGGCACGACTCTTGGTCCAAAAAGTATCTACTCAAGGTCCTTGGATTGGATTCGGCCATTCGCCCACGTTTGCTCTTTTTTCGGCAGTTGGACACATCGACGCCCCATCGGCACATCAACAACCGCAACTAAAAACGATATGATTGTTTGTTTGTTTTCAAACTCACCTCTCTTGGTCTCCTTTCGTCCATTGTCATGCAAGGTAATGGATGATCTGTAAAAAAGTTAGTTTATGAGTAGTTGACCAAATAGATTTTGTTTGTGTACTGCGGGTTGTTGTTTTTATTATTTGACGTATGAATGGACTGAATAATGAATACTATGCATGTCATTGTTTGCATGGTTTGGTATGGATGTTGCGTACTGAGGGGAACCAATCATCAACCGAACCAGAAGGAGCGACTCCGGTATGCGTTTTTTTACAACCTTCACAAGGCTGCAAGGGTAGAGATACATGTTTTATGTTGACATGCTGAGCCGTTTTATGATGGAAAAGGACGAGGCGCGTCGCTTCTTTTTCTCGGCATCCGTTTCAGTCCCAGACGCAGTCGAGCTCTCGGTGCGGATCAGGTTGTGGTCCGACTTGGAAGACTTGTTATGGACAGACGAGAACGTCGAAGCGCGCTCCAGTCGGACACCCATCACCTTGATCCCTCCAGCCTCGTCCATCACCTTGCGCTTTATCGCCAGCTTTTCCGCGACTATTCAAAGAGGTATTGATAAAGAGAGAGAGGGAACAATGTTAGAGCCAGTTCAAGAATGCGGCCAAGAGAATGGATGCAGCAGCAGAAGGAACTTGAACATAGGCGGAATATTGGTATTAGCAAAGCCAGTGGGATGACAGAGTGGTATGTATGCAGGTGGGATAGTGTAGATGCAACATGTACCCAACCAAATTTAAGCATTTTTCAGCGACAGCGAAACCAATGTTGTTGAGTTTACCTTGGGCCATGGTTGAATCGGAGCGGACGAGGATAGCCTCGCCGGTGAGGGGGATGGCATCGATGTCATCGCGCTCGAGAGGCATGGGCTCGCCAGGTCTCGGCTTGCCATCCCAGGGCGAGAACTCGACCATGAGTTTGCTTGTCATCTTTTTACCAAACCTATATTGATTGTTAATCCGGGACCATGAATGAACCAATGTCAACGGGGGTCAATACACGTGTGGGAAGCGCAAAAAGTTGAAAGAAAAAATAATAAAGAAAAACAATGAGAGCATGGAAAAGTAGGCAAGGAAGAGCATGCAAAAGTAGGCAAGGAAGAGGCATGCAAAAAGTGCTTAACACAAATAAGGTGATGATCATTCGGGCATTTTTCATTATTGAACCCTAATCCAAAAGAAAGGGCTCTCCACTCCACTTACATGAGGTAAAAGAAGCGGAAGCCGACATGGACAGAGTGGACGGTGACCTTGACGAGACCGCTGTAGGGGGATTCCTTTCTCCAGGGGTAAGTCTCGGTGACTTCAACCTTCATGTCGGGCTGTTCCTCGCTCAACCACTTCATGATGGCGGCTCGCTTTCCGATGATGGCAAAGCAGTGGTTGCCCTGGTGGACGGCGAGGGCGACTCGCTCCAGCATCGGGGGTCGGTTCAAGCGGAATGCGCCCATATGTCTGTCTGCATACTCGCCTATTTGAATGCATTCAGCAGTAAAAAGGGTCTTGTTAGAAAGGCGCAAAGAGTGATTGATAACTACAAAGTAATTGATCCGAGAGGTGGCAGGGTGCAAGTGACAAGCTGATAGAGAGGAGCAACTTACGAGTGAGGTATCCGTACTTGACTGGGTTTGGGGCCATGGCTTGTCTTGTTCGTTCTTTTTGAAAGTGTTTGTGGGGGAAGAGAGTTAGCTTTTTTGTTCGAATCTACCGAGAAAGAGGAGGGTGGCACAAAGAAATACAAACAAAATGAGGTGAATATTTTTCCGATGGACAGTTGACATAGAGGGGCGAAGTTTTTCAAAAAGATTACAACTTGTTCTTACTGTGAGTGTGGGGTGAAGAGATGAAGGCTTGAGGGATGAAAAACGTGGAAAAAGGTTGTTCAAAGGCAACTATAGGTACTGTAGGAATGAAGAAAGGGAAAGAGGGGGTGGAAAGATGTGAGGCAGAGAAGTAGTGCGAGAAGGGGAAGGGGTTGCAGAGTAAAGAGAGAAAAGAAAGGAGAGAGAGTGAAGAGAAGAAAGAAGAGGAGAAGAAGAGGTGGTTGAGGAAACAGGAGAAGAAATAGCAACGAGGAAGAAAAAAACGGAGGGGATAGAGAAAGACAAACTGCCCTCAATACCCGGTCAAGGATGATGGCAGGATGCATTGAGGGGAGAAGACAGTAAGGTGTGTTGGTACAAAAAGGAAGGAGTGGGGGAGTGAGGACAGGGAGCAAGGACAAGGCATAGGCAAAGGCAAGACTAAGTAAGGACCCGGGCATTCTCATGCGGTCGCAGTTGCAGTCGAGCCATCGGACTGTTCCTCTTTTGTGAAGGTGTATCGATGTGGAGGGATATGACTAAAAGGGGGGTGGTTGACCACAAAGCAAAGGGGAAAGAGCCAAAAAGAAAGAAGGTTGTCCAACCCATCCACAACGAGAGCCTTCTTGCTTGATTTGTTGTTGTTTGTTGGTACGTATCTCACTCGGTAGGCGCAAGCACTTGTTGCTGGGCATACATGGGGGTGTGAGTGAGTGGACCAACTAACAGAGGCGAACAGAAAGGAGAAGAGGACCGAGCGGGGGCGACAGGACCAAAAGCGCCATACAAAGGCAATCGTACAGTCGTGTCGAAAGAAAGACGATGAAAGAGAACTCTCACCCCATCTCACTCTCTCTTTTCGATAGAAACTGCTGGTTCAGCCACTGTTATTTCCAGCGACCTTTTTTGTCTGCTATTCCCCAATCCTCACTACCCGCCATCAACGTGCAGCATGTTCCTCTCTTGCGATGGCAACAACGAGGAAAATGAAAACAACTGAAGGTCTAGTGGTTCGCATAGAGTGCATTAAATCATGATGATGCTGAGGCAAGCAAAGAAAATAAAGGAAAAGAATAAAGGGTTTGGCGCAGGTTCGTGCCCTCATTGTTGCCTTCGTTGATGTTGGGTGTAGCGGTGCATTGGTTCATTGGTGCATTGGTAGTACGACGAGCAGGGTCTCTTCTGTTTACCACGAGAGCACTATTTTTTTGTAAAGGAACAATGTTCTTTTACCCAAGGGTTGGCGTATCCGCCTCATCTATTACAGCTATACCACTAGAGACGCGACAAAGAAACGCGAATCGCAACCATCTGAAGAGACCACACAATTATCAGGACTGCTTCTGTGAGCACGTGCACCAGGTGTGGGAGCCAGTCTCTCACCTCAGGGACAAACAAACTTCTGTCTCTCTTCCCCATTCACATTCATTCCTTCACACCACACCACACTCACACTCCATCTTTTTGTTGACTTCCATGGGAAAACGCAGCAGGAAACTACCTCCGACCATCAGCGGGTCAAACGGAAAGGCAAAGGCAACAACAGCACAGCTAGAACAGGACCCGCTCAAACAGCTACTCTTGAACATTCAGCTCGAAGAAAGTTCAGACTCGGAAGCCAATGACTTCCAGGACTCAGCAAGCAATAGCCTTGAGACCACCAACGAAAAGAAGCGCGCAAAGTCTGGTCACTTTCAGAAATCCAAGAAGAAGAAGAAGGGCTATGCATCCTCTGAACCGTCTCTTCCCAAGTCTTCACCAGCAGCAAACCCTACCGAGTTCGTCACGAATGGGGTAAGGGCAGGAAAAAAAAGTGTGAAGTACCACACAATTGGTGGCAAATTAATAGAGGGTTATTGTTGAGACAATACGCTTATCGTTGACAGCCTTCTTCCGAACCTATTGTCCTAGATCCGGATTAAGTTTCCTTTCACACCTTACAAGTCGCAGCAGGATATGATGTCCAAGGTATACCATGCAAAGTGAATCAGCTCGTTTAGTTAACATTATGATAAGGTGGCTAATGGTTTCGCCTCTTTGACTATTCATTAGATTGTCGAGGCGCTGCAGACTCAGGAGAACGCACTGCTAGAAAGTCCGACCGGTATGTCCCAGGCATTTCCCTCTCTCAGTGGCACGTTCTTGTATGAGATCAGTCAAAAGTGAAATCTAACCCTAATCAATTCCCCTCTTAACAGGATCCGGCAAGTCTCTAGCGCTCCTTTGTGGTGCTCTTGCCTGGTTGCAGAATGAAAAGATACGGAATGGAGAGCACCGTAAGGAAATAAGAAAGAACCTGGAAGCGGAACTGGCCAAAATGGACGTCGTCGAGTCACCCTACTTCGCCGCTGAGGCAGCGGAGCCAAAACCAATCGTGAAAAGCGGATGCGGGACGTGCGCTGGTTCATGTGGAACGGACTCTACATCGGATGCTCAGCACGGTGCGGCGACTACAGCTTCTTTGACGCCCTTGACCGCGGACGACCAGGACTTTCAGAACAAGCCAGTACATCACATTAGCGCCAGAGCTGCAACAGTACTCCAGTACGAGGACGATGCCTTGATGGCCAGTACCGTTGATGCTGCCTCAGTCAAGGGTATCCCTAGTCTCCGCGAGAGTGTATCAATGTTGCCCAAAATCTACTTTGGAAGTCGCACGTAAGGAAATATTCGATATCTTTGTTGGACATTGATTTGACATGTGTTGACATCCATAGAATCTGACAATTGATACTCTACATCTGGTTAATAGGCACAAGCAGATCACTCAATTAGTCAAGGAGCTCAAGTCCAATACAGTTTACCGGCCAAGTACGGGAATCAGACCGTTCAGTTTGTTATATGGAACATGTTCGTACATTAGGGAAGATACTCAACGTAGTTTGCTTTCCTACTATTATAGAGATGGTTGTGCTGGGAAGTCGAACTCATTACTGCGTGAACAAGAGAATCGAAAAGGTTCCAAACAAGAATGATGCGTGTCAAGAGCTGGTGGAGGACGACAAGTGCGCTTACAAGTTCAAGTCGAATGATCTGCAGGATCGATTTGCGGCCAAGAAGCATGGTCAAAACAGGATTTGGGATATGGAGGATCTTATTGAGGAAGGGAAGACTATCAAAGGTACCACGACAAACTTTTGTTTTTTGTCCTCAACCTGTAAATCGACGTTGGAGTTGCTTATGATATTAACACTCCTGCTTCTTGAAACCATAGCATGTCCATATTTTGCCGCAAGGTCTCTGGCATTGGGTGCGGAGCTAATCTTTTGTCCGTACAGCTACCTGATTGACCCACGTAAGTAAGAGCAAAACCAACTCTACCTTCAACTCGAACATCGCTTGACTATGTTCTTACCCTCTTGCTTGCGTTCTATGTCTTCATAGAGATTCGCAAGGCAATGGATATCGACCTGGAAAACTCTATCGTGATCCTGGACGAGGCTCACAATATCGAGGATGCAGCGAGGGATGCTGGTGGGCTGGATGTTTTGGACGATGATCTCAGGGTGGCCCAAGCCGAGTTTGGAGACATGGTCAAGAACAACATTATGTACCAACCCAGCAAGTCACTCTTTAGCGTAAGTCTCATAAATGAGGCTTTCTTCACAGTTTTGTGCTCTATAATCACAGTTGAATCAGGCTACTAATGACTTAGCATACCATTTTGCATTTTCATTCTAGCTTGCGTCAATATTCCTATCGATCTTAGAGAAACAGACGACATTTAGCATTCAGGAATATGAGCAATCGACCGAAATGTAGGCGTCATCATTCATCATGCCAAGCGTTGTTTTGAGCTAGCTGTGCAATAAGACAAGATACTAACGCGTTTAATATGTGTCTATATGATAATTAGATGGACAAGTCATAAGCTGCTTAGCCATCTCAACACGTTTGGAATCAACGCTGAATCGATCGTGACGTATGACACGGCTTGCCAGGAAATATCCAAAGCACTCAAGGAGAAGAAAGAGAAGAAGAAGCTGGCCAAGGCTGTCGGACCTTTAGTGGACGTCATGGACGATGGGCCCAATGGTGACCAGTTCCGAGAGCAATTTGTCGCCGTCTCGCCTCGAGTCCTGCGCGCCTTAGAGAGTATCATCGCCATCCTCAGACGGCTTTTCAGTGGCGACGGCTATTGTCTCGACGATTACAAGGTTGCGTTGGTGGAGTCAGTGGACCACTCTGGCAGGGCACGGCAGGTCGACTCCAGTACGGAAGTTGAGAGTGATGATGATGAAGCCCAGGCGAAAAAGTCGCGTCATACCGGGCGCAACAAACGGAGCGGTTGGCAGGGGTACGGAAGTCAAGTTGCGAGGAGAGGAGCCCAGGTTGAAAAAAAGAGAGAGTTCAAGTTTTGGTGTCTGAACCCCGGAGTCATCTTTCGACCTCTGTCCTCAACAACGCGGAGTGTCATCCTCACGAGCGGTACCTTGTCGCCCATGGATTCCTTTGCGTCAGAGCTGCAAACTCGTTTCGCAATTCAGCTGGAAGCGGGACATGTGGTCGATCAGTCACAAGTCTGGACAGGAGTGTTGCCTTATGGCCCAACACATGTCAAGATGGACGGAACCTTTAAGTCTGCCAGCAGCTTTCAATTTCAGGACGAACTCGGCCGAGCTGTTGAACGGATTATCCAGACGACGCCGCACGGAGTGCTGTGTTTCGTCTCCTCGTACAGCCTGATGGACAACCTGGTGAATCGCTGGCGATCGACTGGACAATATGACCAATTCTGTCAGATCAAGAAGGTGATCTTGGAGCCAAGGAGAGCCACGACCAAGGAGTTCGACAAGACCCTCAAGTCCTTTTACGACCACATCGCTGCTGAAGTCGCCATGGGATCGGACGGCGGCGCTTTGCTCTTTGCGGTTTTTAGGGGCAAGTGTTCTGAAGGAATCGATTTCACCGACTCGAATTGTAGAGCTGTTCTGGCGGTCAGTATCCCATACCCAGGATTGAACGACCTCAAGATCAAGCTAAAGAAGGAATACAACGACCAGCAGTGCCAGAAGCGCCGGCGACAACCCCAAGGCGGACCAACAGGTCAGTTTGGAGGCCCGATCCCAGGAATTGTCAACGTCAACCTTCAGGCACTCAACCATTCGACGGGGGGTGCTGAGAAGAGTGCAGCACACGCATTGGCAGCCTTTCACGATTCAGTTGAGAGTCGAGCTCTTTTGAGTGGCAAGCGGTGGTACGAGATCCAGGCCTTTCGCGCGTACAATCAGGCAATCGGTCGTTGCATTCGTCATCGGAAGGACTGGGGCGCGATGGTGCTGCTGGACTACCGTTTCACGATTCCTGGTACCAAGAATAGTTTGTCCAGATGGGTCCGTCCCCTGACCAAGACCTATACCGATTTTGAGGTGGGGATACACAATCTGAAGTCCTGGATCGAGCCTCTCAAACAGGGACGTGGCATCGAAACGTCTGCCTCCATATCGACTTCGACAACTACAACGATATATGACACGAGTGAACCGGCAGGACAAACCGTTGTGCAGTCTACACATCTCGTCACTGAGACGCAGCTTCAAGTGACCAAGAACGATCCTGAATGGCTTGAAACAGATGAAGGTAATTATGTTGACAGTATGCAGTGTACTACATTTTCGATTTTTGACGAAACCTGTAACTAATAGTGGGTTTCTGCACACTTGTCATAGCCGAGGCCAAGGCTATGATGCTTGAGACGATGGCACAGATGGATTGTAACCTATTTGCTTCATTCTCGAGCGATTTGACCCCAAAGGAAGAGGAAGAGCCGAAGTTGCTCAAGGTGGAGGAGCAACAGAGTCTGGAGGCCGCAATCAGATACGATGTTCAGGAGATGAACGTCGACCCGGCATGGGACGACAGCATTGATATGCCATCAGCAGAGGATCGTTCAGCAGGCTCTAAAACTGCTTCGATACCTGAGCGGCAAACCAACAGCCAAGACCTCGGGACTTTTTTGGATGGTCTGCCAGTTCTTGAATTGGATGTGGACATGTTAGGAGTATTTGAAGGGGAGATTCAAAGAAGCTCCTGGCAGTCTACTATTCCCTCCGACTCAAGATACGACGAAGCCCACGGCTCTACTGAGATGGCAGGCAGGACAGGATTGACGGCGAGCCGTGATACTGGATCGATATTGACAGAGCTCCCAGTCTCCTCACCAAGAGAGGATCCAGTCAGCTTTTTCACCAACTCTGCCTCCAGTTCACAACATACAAACTCATCGCCATCGCGCTCGACGGTTCCGTTTTCTTGGGGTAACAATGCCCTCCAGCCACCTTCTGCACCGACTACCAGCACAGGCGATACTCAGTCAACGCAGAACTATGGCGGCGCGGGTGTGTTGAGGGTGGCGTGCAAGACGTGCAACGAGCTTCTGTTAGTTTGTACAGAGCGGCCCAAGATCAAGACTGTAGAGCGTTCGATGGCTGTCGAACTCCTCGCTCACCGTCGTCGACTGGCTACTGCCCTCGAGGCAAGGGTATCCACCCAGCCTTCCACTAGCCTTGCAAGTCAACGCAGTAGTGCGTCGTCTGTGACCAGTCAATCTCGAGCCATGATTCTAACGATCCGGGGGTCGTGTGTTGTAGAGCTGCCGTTTCAAGGTCCGAATGAGCAGGAGGAGCTGGAATGTGTCCTGAGGCCTCGGGATGGGCTGTTCTATCGTCGGGTTGTCTGTGCTCGTTGTCGTGTCGGCTCAAGCCTCGTCAGATCTGATACAACAATGGCAGGTCAAGGCCAACAACAAATTATCCCTGGCTGGAAGGGTGTGGTCGTTGTCGGAAGTTTGAACGGTCAGCAACAGCAGCCACAACAAGGAGGGGGGGATGACACTAGCGAGATTGGTACTGTCTGGTTGATTCCAGGTGAGATCAAGACGCTTTAGGTTTTCGTGTTACCTCCTCTCTCTCCCCTTTGTAAATAATGTATATCGATAAAAAAAGGCTGTCAAAAATCAGTTTCTATTTAGTGGTTAAAGAGCAGCGAAGGGGATATGTTCTAACACAAAAGGTAGGGTAGGGATTAATTGTTGAAAGGTTGGTTGGGTTACAACTCTCCGTCCTCTCTCACTTCACCCTCTTCCATCTCTGCATCTTCGTCATTATAAGTAGCTGGTGCTGCAGGGGCGGACGTTGAGGAAGTTGTCGACGGTGGTACTGGAGTTCCAGAAGTGGATCCACTACCAGCAGCATTGTCACCTGATCCCGTCTCTGGACGGGCAACTGCCTCTGAGGGTGCCGAAGAAGCAGCGGGAGCTGGCGCAGTCGTTGCCGGGCTAGATGCTGGTGCAGACGATGCCGATGATGCTGGAGGTGGAGGAGGTGTCGATCCTGCTATTGACTGAGGTCCATCCAGTCCAGACCGCAGGGGGGATTCAGTCTCACTCGAGGGCAAGGGGGTAGCTGAGGTGGAAGTCGAAGGAGGTGCTGCAACAGGCTCTGTCGACGAAGTAGCGGGTCCAGAAGTGCTTGACTTTCTCTCAGGATCCACGGAGCCACGACCACTGTCGTTACTTTGCAGGCGCATATGCTGCTGCTGTTGTTGTTGCTGTTGTTGTTGGGTCACGTCACCGTGGTGGTCGTCGATATCGTTGTCAAGGGACTCGTGCTGTTGGCGACGGGTGTCAGATTCAGGCTGGCCATGGGAGACAGAATGTGAACGACTCACAGGTGCAGCAGACGCATCCCTGACATCCTCCATCTCGTGATCCTCACTTTCAGGAACATGGCGAGGAGGAGGAGGTCCTGGCATTCCAGTGCCACTCAAAGACACCAACGATGCAGCAATCTCATCCTGATCCTGTTGCTCCCTCCGAGCAGGCGAAGGAGAATGTCTCTCCCCAGCCCAGCGATGACCCTCATGTCCGTACCCTTGTCCTTGCCCTTGTCCCTGTCCTTGACTCTGACCTTGACCCGGACCTGGCAACTCCCGGGAGGGCTTTTGTTGAGGAGGCGACATGTCCCGATCCCTCATAGGAGGGCCAGGTTTGGGGCTCTGCTGACCAGGATAGTAGCTCTCACCACCGTTCGAATCCGGGTGACGAGGAGCTCGTCCTTGGACCTGGACTTCGTCGTAGTTGGCTTCGGGTGGGTTAGTCCGGTAACCGTGGTGCATGCCTTCCTGCTGAGACCGCTCGTCGACCACTGGTCCGCCTGGACCATAATGACCACCACTGGCAGGCGAGCGAGGTCTCTCATTCGATGGAGGGTGCTGTGGGTACTGCAAATGAGGAGAGGGTCCACTTGGATGCTGACGACCGTCGACAGGTGGAGTTGATGTGCGCTGCTGCTGAGGATCAGAGGGGTAGCTGCGAGGGAGGGGAGGGCGGTTGCTGGGATGGTCCCGGTCAAGACCCTGACCTTGTTGCAGGGGCATGTTCTCTGAACGATGACGGTCGTGCTGGATACGAGGTTGTTCGTGTTTGATCGTGGGGGGAGTGCCATGTCGTTCATAATCCTGTCCATGGTCTCTACGCCTGATATCAGTGGGAACTGGACCGCCTGGTCCGTGTCCGTACGGTGGCTGCTGCACCTGCTGCTGGGGAGGGTAGTGAGGGTCATGGCCGTGTCCGTGAATGGGGTTACGGTTGGCAGGTGAATGAGAACGGGCATAAGGACCATCAGGTCCGGGGGAGTGGGTGGGAGGTCCCTGCATCGAGCGTGGTGGAGGAGGTTGAATGGGGCCTCCATGAGGTGGTCTGTCACCTCCTTGCATCATTTGGGGGCCGCCAGCAGGGGTTGGGGGACGTGGTGGGCCACTGTCACCTCCTCGGATAATGGGGCGTCTCTCGTCGTTTCCGTGGACGCTAGGAGACTCTGGGCGCCTTCCATGAGGTTGTTGTTGTTGTTGCTGCTGCTGTTGATGTTGTTGTTGTTGCTGCTGCTGCTGAATATCTCTAGGCCCTTCGGGGTGTCCTCCTGGCAATGGCAAATCTCTGCCATGTTGGCCAACATGTTCACCATTAGAGTTGGGTGGCATGCTCTATAATATATGAAATAAACCGAACAGGTTAGCACGCCGTCCTAGTCAATGGTATGCAGTAAGTACCTTGTCAGGCGTACTATGAAAATACTTGTTCTTACCAATGGAACTGGAGGAGCATACGGACGATCGGAGTAACCCTGCATTCCTGTGGGAGGGCCTTGTGGCGCCACCGTGTTACCCTACCATACCCACCGAGAAATAGTAAAGAGAGCCGTCAGTACAGCTACAACATGTCGTACTTTTGAGCGTTCCCAGTTGATAAATCAAATAACCTGTAATTGCTTACCTGGCCAAACGCGTTCTGCCCATTAGCACCGTCCATGGACTGGTAGCGAGAAGGATTCATACCCTCTGGATGTGGAGGGGGCATACCGCCTCCTTGTCCTCCATTGTTCTGTCGCAGGTAATCCAAACGTTGCTTGATATGAGGATTCTCTGGATCCAGATCAGATGCGCGCTGGTAAGCATCGATCGCATCCTGAACTTGGTTGTTGCAAGCCTCGTAAAGAGTACCGAGATCGTACCAGACCTCACTGATGTTGGGGTTGATACGGATCGCCTTGCTGTAGGCATCCAGCGCATCCCTGAACTGGTTGATTTGGAAGTAAAGGAGACCGATCGAGCACCAAAATGTGGGATTCCTGCTGTCCCTGTACACAGCCTGCTGATAGGCCTCATAAGCCTTGCTAAAGTTCTGCTGGGCCATGTAGCAACGGCCCATCAGGTACCAGGACTGCGCGTCCGTGTTGTCGCTCTCGATGGAGCGCGTTAAGAAGGTGATGGCGAGATCTTGGTCCATGAAGGAGGCCTGCTGTTGGTGATAGAGCCATCCGAGCTGCTGCAGAACCTTGGCGTGATTAGGGTTCTCGGCCAAAACGTGCTCATAGGCGTCCTTTGCGCTGGTGTACTACAAACGAAAACAATTGTTCCAAATCCGGCGGCTTTGGGCGGTTAGAGACAATGTAATTATTATTTTTTCAATGAGCGCGCATTGTTCAATTAACGTATCGAGCATCTTTTCCTGCTGATCGATCAGTCTTTACCTCCTTTTGCTGTTCATGCACATGGCCGATCTGGAACCAAATATCGGCTTCGGTCAACGGGCGAGGAGGGGCGTGCAAGATGTAGCGGAAGCACTACATTCAAGTAGAGGGATGAGTGTATGGTTGGTAAGTATATCACATCATAATAATCTTATTGCCTCACAGGTTCAAAGATAGCCACTGTTTACGCGAGCTTGCGAGATGATGACAGGCGATAATAAGAAATGGCGAGAAAGAAGAAATGCGGCGTTGTTTACCTCAAGTGACTGGGGGTACTTTTGCTGGCCCTTGTAGATGATTCCGAGGCGAAAGTAGATCTCGTTTGCCTTGTCTGACTTTGGGTCCATGCGCATGACAGCCGAGAAGGCCTCCTCTGCGTGCTCGACTGATCCATAGCGGTCGTAAAGGATTCCGATCCCGTACCAGAGTTTCGAGTCCTAGAAGAATAAGGGGTCGATTGAGAGGGGTGGCGAATTGAAATCAGAGGTCAGTAAACAATAAAAAAACCCCCCCGACGATTCATGGTTGTGTGTCCCGATAAAGTGTATATATAATAATTCAAGACAGCGATCCGTGCTCTTTTTCCCTTCTGACGATCTCCACCTCCCTATTTTTGGTTGTGTTTTGAGCGTGCTTTCGTATGCGATCATGCTCCTCCCATGAGTCGCTGCTAACAAACAAACACTCACACAGACACACAGACACACAGACAACGTCCTGTCGACGAGCCCTGAATCCCACGATCAGGGAAGAAGATTGAGTTTTTTGTTTACCTTTGGGTTGGGCAGGTGGTGGAGCGCGTTTTGGTATGCATTGTAGGCCTTTTGAAGCTCGTCCATCATGAGATAGCAGTGTCCAAGCGATCCCCATGCTTCTCCGCTCGCGCCATCGATCGCCAATACTCGTTGAAAGTAATCTGCAGCCTGTTGATTATTTATCCGAGAATTGGTATAGGCCAATTGTTTTGGTTAATAACAATCCGCATCCTCGCGTATATAATACTGTTTGCTATAAATACTCTTTAATACGTCCAGAAAACAAAGAAAGAGATGATTTACCTTGGGAAAGTTTTCACGCGTGCGATGGAGCTCGGCGATGTGAGTCAGGGCGGCGACAGAGTGGTAGTTATGACGGAGGGCGGATTCGTACGCGTTGAGGGCACGGTCGTGCTCGCCCATCGATTCGGCGAGGGATCCGAGCTGGAGCCAGACTTGTTCGTCGATGGCGTCAAGGTGTTGGATGGCAGGCGAGATGATGGGAGGTTGTTGTTGTTGTGGTGGTGGTGCTTGCGCAGGAGGAGCACCGCCTGGGCCGGGGGCACCTGCTGGTCCTCCTGCGGGACCGGCGGGGGCGTTGGCAGGACCAGGTGGGGCACCACCAGGACCAGGACCAGGGCCCATAGGGTTGCCTGGAGCGTGTGGTGGGTTGGGCGGAGGAGGGCCTACTGCAGGAGGGCCGTTTGCAGACATTGATTTTAACACTGGAGAGTGTGAGTGTGTGTTGTGATCAGATGGATGAAGGTGTGGTGGTATGTAATATTAAATATTAATATTTTTTGGCGGATGATGGAAGTCGACAGGGGGTGTGAGGATGAAATAAGGGGGAGTTGATTGTTACTTGTGGGCGATGATAAAGAGCGGAAGGATGATGGCGTAATAGTAATAACGATGTGGTGTATAGGGTGGTGGTAGCAAGGAGAATTTAAAAGAAGAGAGAGAGAGAGGGAGAGAGAAAAGAAGCGCAATCACACAAACCCTTTTTTGAGGGAAGGAAAAGAAGAAGCGAAAAGAAGAAGCGAAAAGAAAGAAACCGAACAGAGACACAGACACACAGAGGGAGGGAACGACGACAATATGGAGCGAAGGGCACGGACCTGGGAGAACAAAGTAGAGGATGCAATGCCTTCACTTCCGGTGACGTTGCACAGCTTGATTTTAACTTTCAATATGGCTGTGGTATGAAATGTAACTAGTAGACTCTCTAGCTCTCGAGGACACGCTCAATGACCTCGTTGATGTACTCCTTCCTCGACGTCAGATCCACCCCAAAGAACGCCATCAGTCTCTCTCGGACTATCATTGGAAGTATATCAAAGAGGTCAAACGTTAGTACTCAACTCACTCCTTGTCATCAAGCGTTACAAACCAAAAAAAAAAAAAAAAAAAAAAAAGAGAAAAGCGTACCTTGCTTCTTGGTGATACTCATGAGATCGGCGGTGGCAAGCACGTTCTGGATCTCATTCGCAAGCTCTTCGTCCGTAGGCTGATCTGATCCCATGGTCGGAGACACAAACTGAGCCACGCTCCCACTCGCAGTCGACTCAGACCTCATATGATGTCCATGTCCATGGGTATGGTAGCCATTATCCAGAGGCACTCCAACAACAGATCCAGACCCATATTGTGAACCTCCCCCTCTCAACGATGGCACCGCACTGCCAGCATAGGGTACAGGACCCGGCATTCCCATCACGGGCATGACACCAGGTTGACTAGAGATACTCATCCGGTGGGCATGGTTGTACATCACCATCGGAGACGACTGCATCGGCATCGAATGCGGCGGGAATTGCTGAGGTGAGTCATATCCAACATTGGAATCCTGGTACCGGTGTCCATAGGGTCCAACTCCTCCTCCACCACCGACCGAGGGACTAGGTGCATGACGAGGTATCATACCGACATTGACCACAGACCGAGGAAGAGAAGTGATGGAGTTGCGGCGCATGTCCTCCTCGAACGCCAATGACGACCTCGACCCTTGATGGCGGTGGTACTGGTTCTGGTACTGCTGCAGCATGGGGTTGCCAGAGTATTGCTGCTGCCGTTTCTGGATGACATTGGTGTCTCGGTAGTACTCGTGTCCGTTCGAAGCGAGATCATCTTGAGAACCTGACAAGGAGAGGTGGTGCATGGGAAGAGACATTCCGCCCTGAACAGATCGTGCGACAGCAGACATCGGGGAAGCCGGCACTGGTCCATCGACACCCATTCCGCCATGACCAGGTCCATGCTGCTCGGAAATCTTGGATCGATAGGAGACGACGGTGCCCTTGCTCTCATGACTGCCGACAGAATCAATCTCCCACATCTCTTGCTCGTACACGCTCCACTTCTTCATCGGGATCATCTTCTCGTCAAACGGCTCCTCGTCATCCCCAATGATGACCACCTTCTTGGCTGAGCCAGTCTCGCCCACAACCATACGGGTGTTTCCCCAGGAAAAGTCGTCAAAGTGCCAGAAAGAGTAGACGGGGATAAAGAACGAGAACAGCGGGATAGCGAGAATGTAGATGAACATCCAGCCAATGTGTTGCCATTGTCGCTTGATAATAAAGATCAACGCCTGTAGACCATAGACGGCTCCGAGGAGGATCAGCGAGATTTTGGGCAGAGTTTCCATGCCGGTGGCGACAATGACGATCAAGTAGACGAGGTAGATAACAGATGCAGGCAGGGTCAATGTACCAAAGAGATCCAAAAAGACAATGAACCGCATGGAGAAACAGCAGAATCCACACATCTCGGGCAGGAACATCAGCTCGGCAAGGTTGTGAATCGTCGAGTTGATCCATCGGCGACGTTGGGAGAGAAGAACGCTCCAGCGGTCCGGGGCGACAGTCTTGCACATGGCATCTGGGGTGAAGGTCATCTTGTACTGAGGAAAGTGCTTCATCATCAACGTGGTCAGGTAGCGGTCCTCTCCAAGAGACAGCAGGTTCTTCTTATGGAGAGTATCAACCTGGTTGTCCGAGTATTCCTCAATGACCTTGCTGGAGATGATCAATGGGAGCGACTTTGCAACCGTCCGGACTCGGTACATACAGAAGCAGCCAGGCAAGCAAGTGACGGATCCAAAGAGCGACTCGAATGCCTTAGCGAGGTGATGCGATATATAGTACTCGTAGACTTGGATCATGGTCGTCCAGCTGTTCTCCTCGTTTCCGAGCTGGGTCTCGCCACAAAGTCCGATGATCTTGCCATCGTGGATCATACAACTGACGAGTCGGTTCAGTGCGTCGGGCATGACCTCTGTATCGGCGTCAACCTGAAGGATGTACTCATAAAAGCTCGGGTTGACTCCAATAACGTTCTTCATCTGGTGGTAAATCTCGAGCTCCAGTGGACACATGGGCGAATCGAAGTGGACCTTGTTCAGGAACTTCATCAGAATAATCTGAGAATCGCGCTTACCGCGGTTGCCGGGAAGACTCCGCTCGCTGGGCTTGCCGACCTTGGACACAACAATATACGGTACTACATGTCCTTCGTGCTCGTATAGACCAGAGTAAATCTTGCCCATGTTCAACTGCTTCGACCCATCTCCAATACTCTTGAACGCCAATGGCTCTGGATCCAAGCTGGGGTCGTGTCCGAGGATGTTGAGCACAAGGCGTGGCGTCGGTAGGTCGTTGCCGCTTCCGATAATCATGCCGTCGCAGATAATAAAGAGCAATTTCCTCTTGTCATCGTAGTGAAGAGTGGTGATCGAGTCGATGGTCTTGCGGAGAGAGTCCTCGTCCTCGGTGTAGCATGGGATCTGGACAATGACAAACTTGTCGTGCTCCTCTGGCACACGGACCGAACCCAGCTGCAGGGCAGCCAAGAACTTGATGGCGATGACGGATACCAGGACCACCGAGGTGCTGAGAAGCATATAGTTGGTAAACTGGCATTGGAACGACTTGCGATAGTCAACTTTGCCGACGTAAAATACCTGGTCAAGACAGCTCTTGGTCAAAACGCGCTTTTGCGAGTCGAGAGGTAACTTCTTCCAGATGTCAGTGACATCCTCGCCGTTGTTGTTGAAGGCCATGTCCTCGACGGTCTTGTCCAAGAAATGAACCGACGGCACACCGGCCCCTTGCGCACCGGTGTTTCCGGGGGCTCGAACAGTGTTGAAGTAGCTGGTCAGGTCGTAAACTGCGCTGTCGATGACAAACCACTTGCGGGTCTCGTCTCCCTTGATGTCATCCATCTCAAATGCCAGTTCTCCCTTTTTCATCGGCTGCAGTCTCGGCAAGGCGACTTTCCAGTACCATTGTCCTTGGTTGTTTTGTTGATTCCAGCCAACGGTGGTGTCAGGGGTAGGTGGTCCATGCAACTGGACTCCGACGAGAGTATTGTTGACGATCAGGCTGAGTGATGGGCTGGTGACAAGTCCATAGCAGGCAATGTTTAGCTGGAGAGGAAAATACTCTGTCAAGTCCATGCCTGCAAAGGGGAGCATGTAGGCGGTATCGGAAGGGTACGACGCGTGTCCGTTGGAGTGGTCGCTCTTGGCAAACTTGGTGATGTCGTACACTTTACCGCGGAGGGAGACATAAAAGTCGTCTGGTGAGGCATGATACCCGACTTCCTTGGACGAAAACAGATGCTCTGCTCCGGGACACATCATCTTGCCAAAGCCAGTAATGACAAAGATGATGATAGCCGACATGAAGAAGATGATGTAGCATAGCGCCACCTTCTCGCGCCAGGCCATGCGAATATCTTCGCGAGTCATCTTGCCGCATCTCGAGAGCATAAATGACGGAATCCACCACGTCATGGTCCACGTAAAGGCCACCCAGAGCTTGCGAGCACGCGTCGTCGGCAATTCCTCAATCGGTTCCTGCTTCTGTTGCTTCTCTGATGGACCACTCTGACCCTTCCTACCTCCGGCTTGGTTGGCTCGGCCATTGCCCCCCTTCTCGCCTCCTCCCTGACCACCATTTCCTCCAGAGCCTGCAGCCAGTGTTTGGTCTCGTCTGGATCCTCGTCCCAGAATGCGATTGTGGGAGAGACTTGCCATACCATAGTCGCTCATCATGTCGTCGTCCTTCTCTCCAGACTCCGAAAAGATATCGTCGTCCAGTCCATCAGCTTCCGAGGCGGCGTCGTCTCCATTCAGCCCCAAAGCAGTCGTAAACAGCTTGTCCGTACTGGAGAAGGCCGGCCCGTACTTGATTCCCTCCTCGCCGTCGCCACTGTTGATCATTGCCAGGTCCCCGGCACCTTCAGCAGCGGCAGCAGCTTCCAGAGCCTTAGCGCGAGCTTTGGCTACCTCTTCCATTGCAAGTGCCTGCGCCTGTTCGCGCTTGATCCTGAGGCGCTCCTCCTTCTCGACGGTTCTCAAGTCATCCTCCAGATGTTTCCAAACCTCCTCGGCCAGCCAAACGCATGTGTTACCGAGAGCAAACTTGGCGCCAACCTTGCCATCGGGAGCATTCCATCCTCGGCCAGGAGCATTGGCAACATCCAGACATTGTCCCTTCTCGGTCTTTGTGCTCCTATCGATCGCCAGGTTGGTGAGGAGAGTGGTCTTTTCGTACCGAGACAGGAACTCACTAAAGACGTACGAGACCGTGTACTCCGTGCGCTTGCGATGGGCAATATCGGGTAGCATGAAGGCATTGACCTGGTTCCGCATCTTTTTGGTGTCGACCGAGAAGTTCGACTGGGCATCGTTGGGCCTGAGGCAAACCATGTGCCAAAGGGTGGTCTCGTCCATCGTCTGGGCCAGGTCGTGGACTGTTGTAAAGACTTGAGACAAAACTGTGCTGACGGTTACTGCATCCTCTTCCATCTGCCTCGCCTGCATCATAGCGCTCAAGACACTTTGAGGCGCTTGTTGTTGCTGCTGGATCTCTGAGCCTTTGTTCGCATTGGCACCCCGACGGGCAGCCAGGGACCGGCCCTGGCGAGAGGGCTGTCGCTTAGGGCGAGTCTGGAGCTGCGCCTTGACAATGGTCTTTTCGAACTTGGGATGGCGCTCGACGGAAATGGCACCGGAGGACTCGACCGAGAACAGATCGACAATGAAGCGGTTGGCAGAGTTCCGGAGGAGCACAAGGAAATCGGGGGAGATCTGGTCCAAGTTCTTCTCCAAAAAGTCGTCGACCGAGTACTCGACTTTTCCAGTAAAGTGTTGGATCGCAAAGTAATTGGACGATGTGCGGTTAGTCGAAAAGATGGCTTGACTCTGTGAGTCGCCTCGCATCTGCACGGTTGCCTTGTGAAGACAATCAGCATCTGTGGCGGTGCCCTGACTGAACAGAGCACTGGAATCGTCCATGATACGAACTAATCCTCCGAGGACTGCAGAGGTTGCGGCTGCTGTCCCCGCTTGCTGTTGCTGCTGTTGCATCCTGACAGAGTATGGGACGGCCTTTGAGCCTGCGGTACTTGTTGCTGTGGTTGTGTTGGCTGTCGAAGCTAGAGGCTGGTCATCCTTGTAGTTTTTGCCAACCAAGAAGCTCAAGCAATTGTTGTCGAAGAGCGCACTGTTGTTGGCGTGGGTATTGCCCGAGGTGTTGTTGGTATTGACTCGTTGTATTGGTCCAGGGAGCTGAATACCATCTTGAACCTGGAGCTTGTTGAATCCGACAGTGTCATCGAGCATCCTCCTTCCCACGAACCCGTGCAACAGCTCGTTGGCAAAGTTGGCCGAGAACTGTTCAAAGCTGGCCAGATGAATCGCAGAGCTGCTGGGGGCCTCGGCCAGACCTGGTTGATCTAGGATCGCAACAAAGTTGGCCGGCTCAGAGTGGCAGAGGGTTTTGTTGATCTGCTCGACAAGGTACCCAAAGAGAGCCATGTAGAGGGCCTTTGCGAGAGAGTCACGATGGGCAATTGCTCCATGACTGTTTAGCACGACGGTGCAGAGATCCCTGCGGATCAACTTGGACTTGTATGTCAATGCTGTCATCAGTTTATCTATCGACAAGACAGTAAGAGGGTTAGGTTTTTTAGCTTGGACGAAAGAATATTCAGATTGCAAGCGAATGGTCAACTAGCAAGACAGGTGTGTGAAGGTAGAGAAAGGGCATTTACCACTGGGAACACCGAGGATGTCGGCGATGAGGTCGAGGACGTCTGGATTACGAATGGCAGCCGCTTCCTGGACGGTACTCTGCTTACTTGCAGAGACAGGGTCGGTGAACTGTAGGTTGCCAAGGTGGAGGATGGCAGCCAAAAGTCTCCAGATATGCTGAGTTTGTCTTGGTTTGAAACCACATGTTGACATGGCGCGTTTGAGTTGTTCAAAGCCAAGGGTATCATCCGTGCCCATGCCGGCCGAAACGGCGACAGCATGAGAATTGGGAGCAGGTACGGAAGTGGCAGTGGCTGGGCTAGCGCCCAATCCGCCTTGACTGATGGTGTCCTGTCGGGCCAGCCTTGACTGGTTGATGTAGGTAAAGGTTTCTTGGAGTCTGAGCTGCGATTTGTCCTGGTCTGAAAACGCGTCCTGGTTGGCGTGCAGGAGGTAGTAAAAGACATGGAAGGTGCGCTCATCTTGAGGGATCTTTGTTACCCGTGACGCATTGAGCAGGTAGCACAGCGTCTTTCCTCCCAGGATCCTTCCCCGCTCATTGAACTATGACATCCATATAATAAAAGCAACAAAAAAGAATGACAGGGTTGGTGTGAGTACGAGCAAGTATAAATGAAGCCTAGGACAATGAGAAAAACGAGCGGGATATGTGTATGTGAGTGCCGTGGTTTGTGCACCTGGATTTCGAGGAACTTGGAAAACATGCTGGCGTTCTTGTTGTCATTGGTGTAGGCGCATCCAAAGGCATCCAGAATCTGCTGTGCCTGCTGCAGCTGTGAGGCGACGCGCGACTCCTTTTTGGTATGTGTGGCTAGTCGGCAGAGCTGAGATGTAATATGCGAGGCACCAACCGACTTGCCTGACCCAGACACACCGCTGCAGATGCAAAAGAAGAAAATAGTAATAATAACCAGTATAAACCTCCGTGTTAGTTCTATCACTTTGAAGCAGAGTGCGAGGGGAGAAGGGGTGCGTACAGTGGTCCAGAAAAATACTTGCCTCATAACAACAGTTTGATCCTGGCCAGTGCGTCGAAGGTGGAGGTAGATTCTTCCAGCCAGCTCGAAGGGGTGTGGCGCGATACTGCTGGATCCATGGATGCTACTGTGTTGACTATGCCGGTCTCCGCCCTTGTTTTTTGATTTGTTATCGCGTTTGCCTTGCATGGGCTCAATGGGCGCGAGGTTGAGTCCAGATCCTGATGTGGCCTCGCCCACATTACGGTAACACTGGTCTGCATATTGCTCGGCGTGGGCGTCGTTCAACAAAGGTAGCACTTCGTAAGGGTTGACTGCGACAAGAGTGGATGCATTGATGCGAGTATAGGGGAGCTTTTGTTTCCACCGTGACGAGAGGTTGTAGACAATGGCGTCGTCGGAGGTGGATCCAAGATGGGTCAGATCCGGAGAGGTGTAGTCGGATTGGAAAGGCATGGTCGACGAGGGGTATTAAGAAGATGGTCTGTCAAAGAGAAGAGAAGACTCAACTGAAAATTATCGAAACTAGTCGAGGTATTATGAAGTGGAGAAAGGAAAGGAATAAAAAACTAAACAAATGGGCCACCGTTGACATATGTCAAGATGGATATATGTGTAAGGGCCTGTGAAGTAGAAGCAAAAAGTGTGTTGTATAGTACAAAGAGGTCTCTTGACGAACGTTGGCTGTATTTGTTAGGCTGACAATGAGAAGTGAACCATGAGCGAACAATAGAGGGTGTATGTGTAAGTGAGAGAAAGGGATGGGAAGGAAAGGTGGATGAGAAGCAGAAGAGGGGGAGGAGGGGAAGAAGGAAGGATGGTGAGCAAACAACCACTCGGAGTAGGGTAAGAGTGTCAAAAACAAATAAAAGAAAAGAGAAAGAAAGATGGGAGCAGTTACTTCTTGAGCAAGGAACAAAAGAAATTGATACAAAAGGGATCGAAAGGAGAGGAGACTCTCTCGTTTTGTCAATGCTTTTCTGGAGTGGAGCGAACTGAATGGGGTGAGCTGGCCAACGTGGTTCTCCCGCTCCATTTCCTTCACCCTCTCCTTCTCTCTCATGCAGTGTGTTATCCTGGGCGAAACATAGGGCGGTATGGCGAACAAAGATGGCAATGGTCCCCTTTTGCCCTTTTCTAATAAACATTACCCATCAACTCCTCTTTCACTCTCCCAGACGTACACACTCAACCACTCGGCCGAAAAATTGGATAGCTGCCTCGGCCGGACCTCGTTGTATGTCTTACAAAAGGACAACGACAGTCAAAAATGGATGCGGTTGGATGCAATGCGCTGTTCGCTGCAAGCACTGGATATAACAGAACACAATACCTTGAAGCCTTTCAACAAGTCGCCATTCCAGACCACAGTTCGCCTCATTCTTTGTACTTGGTATGCCATCTCTCTGTCTGTCTTTCTCCTTCTCCATGCAGCAAAATTGATTTTTCAAGGGGGCACACAGAAGGAAAGGATCCTGGCTGGTTCACCAATATTGTCCAATAGAAAGAAAAAAGAGGAAGTTGGACGGTGTAGCGAAATAAAGGGGAGGCGGAGGAAGGGGAGGCGAAAGAACCTTTCCGTCATTTCTCTTCTTTGTCGTCCTCGTAGTCTCCTTTGCCCCCTTTCCCTCTTCTCCGCCGATGGGGCAGCCTAGGAGGGATACACCGGCGAACGTAAGAAAGCGAGAGAGAGAAATAGGGAGAAGAAGACGGTAACAAAAAAGCAACAGGCTAACCATCTAGGCGAAGGCAAGAGTTGATATGTTAAGAAGGTACGGGCTCAATAGATTGAGCGATGGTTGTGTTTCAGGGTCAGGGCCACCCTGGTGTCGAAGAAGGAACGAGTTTGAATGAATTTTGTCATAGTAAGATAGAAGAGTAGACATACCGAGTCTACCGGATGTTGGAAGAGGTGTTTAGGGGAGAATTGCTTAGGCTGACAGGGGAAGTAAGTGGGATTTGAAGGGTTGGGAATGATGAAGAGGCAGAAAGCAAGACACATCTATGGGCAATGGTGTAGTAGAAGGGGTATGATGCAACATGGAGTAAGTATGTGGCAGGGTAGGGGGGATCCTGCATTGCAAAAACATCGGCACTTCATGTGATGGCTGTTGATACTCCTGCTCGTTGTTGGTCACCGAGATGACCGTTGCCACCAAAAAATAAAGAATGGGATACGCGTCGATCGAACCATTAAAATGATCAAAACAAAACGCGTCTAGATGCTCTATTTCCACGTACAGAGTGTACACAAAATTGTCCAATTTATTTTCGTACAAAAAAAGGTCAACGGTCTTCTACTTTCCTCCTCGGCCACACACACCACGCTTTCTTTTTTTTGTCCTTTTCTCTTTGACTCTCTTCAACTCCCGTTACCATCCTCGCAATTTCTTCTTCTTCTTTAAATCTAATCAACACCAACAACAGCAGCACAGACAAGGCCGTCATCGTTAATCACCATGGAAGGTAGACAACACACTACTCTCTCTCCCACCTTACGCCATCTCGGCACCCTAGGAAACAATAAGCTCCATTGGCTCCACAACATTTCTTGACATTTCTACTGTGTTCATTCATTCTAGTGACCTACTACCTTCACATGCTACACTCCTGGGAAGTAGAAGAGCTCAGTCAGCTCAAGGACACCATCGAGTACGTCTCCTTCTCTCTTTCTCGCTCCGTTTCTGTCGCTCTCTCTCCTTGCCGTGAAGGAATAGTACACAGGAACAGAGTTATGACCTTATTGCTTTGCTAACCCCATCTCGCTGCCATATGACAAATAGCCAAATTGCTCGAAACAACGCGTCAGCGATCAAGTACGACCACAAGCGACTAGTACGTACCACGTCCCACAATCCACAAAGTGCTGTTTCTTATTGTTCTACTAGCTACGTTTGTTCTTGCTTGTCCACATCTGCTGTTTCCTATTTTTCCAGCCTTTATTCTTGCTTGTGCATGTGTCCTCATGCATATGAAGCTTATATCATTGCAACATATCGTGCCGCCACCCTCCTCCCCTTAGGTCTTTACTGTTGCTGGCTCTGATCGCGAGCGACAGAAGCAAGCGTAAGTGTGGCCATGCTACATATTCATAACAACGACCTCACGCGCTCATGGAAAACAACAACACATCGCTACTAACACTACCCTCACTCCTCGTCCCGCTCTCAAACGTCATCGATCTTTAGTTTGGATGCCTTGCGCGAGCTGGTGCAGAAGATGGTATGCCAAAATCACTAAATCCAATTTTGTCCGCGTGGCGACACTCTGCTTTCATCAAACCATCATACAATTCTGACGACCGTATATCTGTACCATTTTATTAGACTCCTGCTAAGACCACATGGCCCAAAAAGTTCAGAGATGGCCAGACACACCCTTCCGGCTCGACTACAGGGAGCGCAACCAGCAGCGTGCCGGGAAGCATCACAGGATCGTTGATCGACGTCCAGGATGTTACGACATCGTTCAGCCTCATCGATATGAGCCCGGCACCACCAGAGGCTACCAAATACACGGTTGAGTTTCATGTCGACGACGAGGTTCGGGACCCATACGAGATGTACTACGCGGACAAGCGGCAGAAGATCGACCTTCCAACCATATTAGCGAACGGGAACGGTTGTGAGGCTCAACTCTCGCCGGACGGGCGGGTATGTTTGAGGAGAATCGATGTTTTGCAACACTTTTACCTGAAATCTCTTGCCTTTCAAATTTAATGTTGCAATTAACTCTCATAATCGTGCATGTGTTTTGCTTGTCGATATAGACGGTCAGCATCTCAGGAGACAGCTTATCCAAGATCACCACAGTTCAACTACAGCTCCAAAAGATGCAGACCTATCACCTTCGCAAGCCATTTCAAGTCGACCGCGCTGCACTTGTCTACGGAAGCAATCGGGATGAGTTCCGCCTAATCTTTGTTCGAATCGTGGAGCATCAATACTACAGCAACCACATCAAGTTCTTTCCGTCATTGCGGCAAAACACACCCAGGCCCACCGACTTTTGCGTGATCGAAAAGGCCACCTACGACGACAGTCAGGAGGACTGGATCATCCGGAGCGACGCCAGGATCAACCCTCGTCTCGCTGCATCACCACAACGCCGACCTAGCGTTGCACTCTCCCCCGTCCGACAACCCGCGAGGTCAAACTGGGGACCACTACCGCAAGCATCTGATCGCTCGGGAAGATACGAGGCGTCGACAGGACCTGAGTGGTTTGATCAAAAGAACCCAACTTTTGGCTTCAACAACAACCCCACCCCGACTGCCGATTCCAGACAACATCCAGCTCCTTCGCAGCACACTTCGAACTCGAACGTCAACCGATCCTCCAGAACCGCCCCTAATGTCGTGCCGAGCTGGTCAACCGTTGGTGGAAGATCATCGCCTGCTCAGTCAAACAGTGTGCCGCAAGGACATATCCGACGCGTGCCCCAGCCAGAGTGGGGAGCTCCAACATTCGACACAACAGTGAAGGGCGACTTTCCATCCTTGTCTACAGGATCCCGAGCCCCACCAAGGCGACCTGGCATGCCGTCCTTACCCTCGCCTCGATCGGTTACCGCTTCTAACATCGATTACTCCAGACCACCTACGCTCCCTTCTCAGGCGCCCCAACCTAGCGCTTCAAGGGATATTGTGTTTGGAGATCGGGATTGGGATTATCTGGAGGACAGGGCATCTCTGAGCTCTGGAGGACAGCGATCGAGAGATATGGAGAACAACGGCTTGGATGTACCTAGATTGCGGGACCCTAACATCGAGGTTACTGACGCCCAAAGGACTCTTCGACGCCTCCCCAATCAGCAAGCGACTCCCGGTGGATCGCCGTCACAAATTTCCGGATCTAGTCGATTTATCGACACCATGCGAGTGTACAACATGCGACGGCTTGCAGAGACCATCCGAAGTGGATTAACAGAGTTGCAGGGTCGGCGGAAGGAGATTCGGTTATTTGGACGATTGGGAAACGTGGTGTACCCTGCTCGTCGGGAAATAACGGATCGATCATGGGAGTTTACCGATATTGACAACGTCCTCGAAAAGAAGCTCAAAGTTCTCCCCTGGTTCTCTCCTATGTAAGTCATACGTTGTGCGGCGAAAGGATGAGAAAGACGATGTGCATACTATTGTATCGTTTATCTGACCATTTCTCTATTTTC